CCCCATTTTTCTTGTCTCCCAAAACAGAAAATCTACGAGGACACTCCAAAAAAGTTCACAAGCCCCGAACGAATTACTTGTAAGCTGACTACCGACTTTCCCATCGAATAATCGAGTGGAATTCATTACCTCGGCACGTGGTTGAGGCTCCAACTGTCGACTCCTTCAAAAGAAAGTTGGATCAAGTAAGAGACCACTATTGTCAGGACTAACACAGGCCATCAAGCCTCCTGTCCTTTCCAAACTGAAACTAAAACTGAAAGATAATAAACAAATACACAAATATTCAGTGATACATTTAAGCTCTGTTAAGTATACTTTTTACTTGGATCACCATCCTCATTTACTTTCTTTTCCTCTTGTATTGTGCAAGAAAAACTGACTCAAAATATTCATCGCTTTTGTTATTTCATTTGTGTGACAGGTCGCATTTTTCAACATAAAATCTGAGAGAAACTGCTTACTGGAATCTTGACATACTGTGGAATGTACTGTAGAGTCGGTTGTCATTTTCACCTGTTTTGCATTCAGTTCCACGCTAAATATAAATAATATCCAGGTTTGGTGTCAGCACATACGTTAAACATGTTATCGCAGACTTCTGAAGATCGTTAATAGTGGTCTTCGACAGACTTGTCACCATAGATTTCAGAAACGTCTGTCACAACTGACAAACTGATCACAGAATTTTCGTTTTTCCAATTTAAATCCCAGGGTATGGCGTATATATATGTTAATATCAGCTTTTCAATTTTGACTGTATATTAAAGCAGTAAACTGTGGAGTTAACTTGTTTGATACCAGCTTAAAAACATAGTAAATACGATACAAATAAAATAATATGTTTGTAACATCCAAATGGATAGAAATTTAGGCTTCCTGAAGTTTTATGACTCGATGTAAGCCACTTCTTCAAATAGTAAATAACCAGATCCAAGTTTAAATAATACGAATTAACACCGCAACAATATTTTGTGCGATCAGAAAAATGAACAGATGTGACTTGTTTAGTACTAACAATCTACCACTTAGTGCACTGCATTTATGCTTTTAAAACAACATTTTGTGTACGATCACCAGCTCCACTGCTCATAATAAGCTATTTGAAGAAATAACACGATAATACATAAGCGTTCGCGGAAACACCTTAAGCTATTTTTACGCCATGTCACCTTTGCCAGGGTTACAGTTTGTACAATGCTATATTTTTGTGCAGGATATAATAACTGTGATATCAAGGTATGGTACCAACTCACAAATCCATATATTGACTTTTTGGTTTGCCTGAATGAATGTTCTGTCAAAAATTTTCACTGACTTTATTTATTTAAAAATATGACGTAGGTAATATTTTATCTGTGAACCCATCTTGTAAATTATTGATCATGCCTAAGTAAATGACGCATATCTACTATATATTGTTGGTGACTATGAAATCATTCATACTTTTATGTAGGAAAATTTACCTCTATGCTTCTATAGCCACTACGTCATATAACATGTCAACCCAATTGAGTGAATTATTACAGGAAATCCAGTAACATTTGTAACATTATAATCTTGATATTAAAATGTTATGCCTCCTGTAATACACTGTTGTATTCCAATAAATAACCATTTAAAAGTGAAGAACCGCGTGTAGGTTGGGTGCCCATCCATTCATTATTATTGGGATTTCTAACTACACACGATCAAATGTACTACCAAAATTGCAAGCAACGTGCAGTCATAAAGAACCACACCCTTCAAATGCTAAGACTCAAAATGCACCACTGGGCAGAATACAAATGAACTGGTAACAATAGCACGTATGGGCGAGTCAGACAAGCAAGTGAAATATGCACAAATGCAATAAGAGAAGATAAGCTACAGTATCAGATATAGCTAACCGATAAAATTGTCTCCAGTCCGTTTAGCTTATTCCGTCATGCGACGTCTCTTCGACAAGCTAAAACCAGAGTTTACCAGCTATAAAATCGTAATGGCTCGACCAGCAACAACGGTAATACCGTCTATCCCCAGGTAGGACAGTATTTTTAGACATTTCAACCATACCCATATAAACTGCATTGACAGAAGCTTTACGTGCAGCTCAACAGGACTCTCAAACGTGAACCTGAGAGTTGAGTTGGTTTGTCAGAAATCGCAGTATCTAAACAAGCATAGTTTTTCTGGCTCGGATTTGGTTCGTTCTCTTATATTGAGGATGGCTTTATTCTTAGCAAAACAGCTTCGCACGATGTTCTCACACCCACTAAATTGAGGCACGGCATCAGAAAGTTTAAAGCTGGTTCTTGTTACACCAATTTTCGAAAAAGGTTGACACAGTCAACCTTCAAGCTGCTGGCCAGTAGCACCTTTTTCAATATTACTAAAAGTTATGAAGTCCATGATATACGATGGTCTGAGTGACTAATTTTTATCCACAAGCCTCTTTTCAACCCAACATCATGGATTCAGAAAGGACCGCTGTGGTGTAACCAAACTGCAGATTGCGCTGAATATATTTGTAACCATCCTTGATCACAAGGCGAATGTTGATGTCATATACTTTGACAGGTTCATTCATATGTCTCATCGATAAGCTCACAAGGTTAGATGTCAAGTCGCCATTAATTGATTGTCCTAGGTCATATCTAAGTAATCGACATTTTAAGGTCAGTTTGCAGACAAGATGACAAGGTGGTACTTCGGGAGGACCTAACTTCACTTCAAAGTTAGGTGGACAACAACGAACTTACTTTTAACACTTGGAAGTGAAAAGTATTCCATCTGAATGATGTTACAGACTACTCACACAATTTAGGTAACTCTTCAGAATTGTCCCAAGTTGAAAAAGACCTAGGAGTGTTAGTACCCTATTTAGTTTTACGCTAACTATAAAGAAAATGCATTTCGAGCATATCATGCACTGGTAATGTTGAAGCCCATTTTCGGTCAATTCGACTGTAGAATTTTCCACTCCATCTTCTACAGCTTTATTTAACCACAGTTAGGGAACGGCAATATAAATTATCTCCCCCACTCCAGAAGGATATGGAGACACTGTAACGCATCGAGAGTGGAACAAAAAATCAGTTCAGAGACTCGAACCCAAACCTTATGAAAAACGCCTCGAAATAACTGAGTCTCTACTAACTACAGTATAGGTGTCTCAGATGTGACCTAATGACTGGTAGCACCCTCAACACTCCTAAGTATCTCTTTAAATACCTGCGTAAGCTCAATCCCAGCACAAACCTTAGGGGTAACACCCATAAATTAAAGATACAACATATCATAATTGACTGTAAACACACATTTTACACTTAACGAGTAGTCAAATCCACCGATTCGCTTCCCATTGAGGTAGTACAAGAGACTTTTCAGGAGTCCTTTAAGTCGAAACTTGACATAGTTATTAGAATTCAGGACAGCATCACATTATAATCTACCCATATTTCTCTACCATGAGGCACTGATGATCCACTGCTACTAGATGCGAAAGCCTGTTAAGCAAAAGCATTGTCTATTCCACCCAGAGCCATTTCAACCAGCCTAGGTTACCAAAGCAACTAGCTAATTTCGTTGCGAACCCTCAAATATATGTTTTAATCTATCCGTAACCTAGGGTCTATCACTAAAAGGCTGGAAGAACGCCATAGTATGTCCTGTCTTCAAGACAGGTACGAAACACAAACCTGAAAACTACAGGCTCGTTAGCCTAACCGGAGTGAGTATTAAAACTTTCGAAACGATCATTTGGAAGGGGTGTTTACGCATGTAGATGAAAATCTGATTCTTTCGGAAAAGCAGCATAGCTTTAGAAAAGGTTATTCCTGTCTCACTAACCTATTAGTGGCTCATGAAATTGATGTGCCCTTAAACCCAAATAGTTACAGATAAACATACTCCATATTGACTTCGGCAAAGCTTTTGACAAAGTTCCTCACAATCGACTGTCATATAAGCTAAGAAATGTCACGGTTGGAGGCAATCTATTGATGTGGATAAAAGACTTCCTAATTGGGCACCAACAAGGAATACAGGTAAACTCCAATTTGTCTAGCTGGGAAACTGTGCTTAGTGTAATACCTCAGAGTATTTTTTGGGGTCAATATTATTACTGTTGTATGTAAATGATCATCACCGGTCTTGCTATGGGCTGACGATGTCAAGATATGGAGCGCGATAAAGATCAAGGTTACAGCTTAGAGTTACAAAATGACTTGTAGAAGTTATCTGGACGGTCTCAAACCTGGCAGTTGCCAATAAATAACTACCAGTGTGTTGTGATACCTATTAGTCATCAAGGTGCAAATGCATGCGTGGTGAATAACACTGAGCTACCTATTGTACAGACACAGAGTGACTTAGGAGTCATCACTAGCCAAGACTTACAAACTCATGCACACTGCCACGCAATAGCTGTCAACGGTTTCAGAACCCCATGGTCAATGCGTAGGGCCTTTAGTGGTGTCGATGCAAAATCATTTTGGCTTTGTATACAGTATTCGTGCGTCTTAAACTTGAGTACTGCATACGAGCGGCTAGCCCCTGCTTAAAAATCAGTTTCTGGAAAAGGTTCAAAGAACAGCAACTGAGCCGATTCTCAGATGGCGAAGCTCCCATATGATTCTTGATCGGTCAAACTAAACTTATTTCCATTGTCATATCGAAGAACCAGAGGTGACTTGGTTACAGTTTTCAAATTAGTTAATGATAAATTTGCACCTGATATGCCCTAATTTTTCTCGTCATCCAGAACAGAGAAATTAAGAAGACACTCTTTAAAAGTTCACAAGCCCAGGACAAATTACTTGCCAGCTGACTATCGACTTTCCCATCAAATCATCAACGAGTTGAATTCATTACCTCAGCACGTGGTTGAGGCTCCAACTGTCGACTCTTTCAAAAGAAAGTTGGATCAAGTAAGAGACCACTATTGTCAGGACTAACACAGGTGACCTAGCTTCCTGTCGTTTCCGAACTGAATCTGAATAGTCGGTGACAAAAACACTGGACATTGAAGCTAGGCTCACTGTTTGAAGGTGGTTGATACGTCAGCTCTACTGTAGATATGCAGTCAAACGTCGAGCGTTCTGAAACTGGAAGGCGACTGAGCTATTCCAGAGCTGAAATTTTAGCTCTTTACGACTGCGGGAAGTCCATTGCTTTACATAATGATGTGGTTAAAAAATCTCATGTGAGTTACTGACCAGTGTTCAATCAACTTATGCTTATCTCCTTTTTGCCTGTTGTACTGTTTCTAATGCGTTAGTATATTAGCTAGAATTTAAACAAATGATGTCAGTAATAAGTTCATTGACATCATAAACAGTCATTACCAAGTTATTCTCCCTATTTATTTGATACGTATATATATAATCGTAGTAATTAGTTACTCGTATGTTCCGGAGTGTAACAATAGTTTTCATATCATTCATTAAAAGCTCTTTTTACAGAAATCTCTAAAACTTTCATGTTATATAGACTTTGCCACCTAGACTTCCATATAGCTCATTTTTTGACTGACTCGGATTATTACTAAAGCGGAAGTTAGTTTATCACACAATATCATGTGGCTTATCTATTGGTTGACTTTCACTTGTTTGGATTTCAATTTGATCAAAATGGCTCTAAATAGGACCCCTTTTTGATCCTACTATGGATTCTCTAACATAACGTCCATAAAACATACAAACTAATGAACGTCATCTTGGTTTTCTTAATCAGGTTGTACTTTTTAGGTTGTATTGTTCTTGTTGGTTAAACACTTGGTTATACTCCCTTTCACTACTTTTTATAACATCATTCCAGTTTATATGGCGCCATTTTGTTCTATGTTATGCTAATATCCTATTGTATCATTAATATAAAATACATTTACATTAGTAACCAGTTCCTCAATTTTTTATAAGTAACGATTACTGATAACTAAAACCACCTAATATTGTGTATCATTTTTCCTAGACTGGGACCCGTGGTATGTCAACTTCACAAATAATTATTTGGTTTTAAATTTAGCACCTCGACCTAAACCCCAAAGAAAAAAGACTAGTTATTCACAGTCAAGCGATGGAGACGCCCAAAAGTATGTGAATGTTTATCTATATATTCATACCTTTTTTCACTTCGTATTTTTAGTGTTACTATTTCGTCATACTACCTCTGTCATTCGGTGTATAGCTTATTGGAATACGAATATAGTTTCCTTATGATAGAAAGTATGCTGATGAATAATTTCTTCGTCCATATATGTTGACTAGAATAGTCTATACCATCATTAAGATAAAGTGGAAATAATTCTTTTATTAGTGTTGATGACCCCTTCCAACTACTAAACCATGGTGAACATACATTATGTAAACAGTTAAGAACTTCAAATAACCATTGTATCACACTAGAAAGTTGGAGTTTTCTATACAGCTTGGGAACTTCCTATTGCGAGTTGGTAACATTATATTGATGAAGCTCCTATTATTACACTGTTTTATCGGGTTTGTATTAACATAATTAAAGTAAATTAAACTAACCTATTCACCAAGTACTTGGGTTGAGTCTCGCTCTAAATATGAGAGTTAATGTCACTACTCAGTTGCCAAAACTGAAGTAGATGGTGCGGAGTTCGAACTTGGGACTTAGTGACCGGGACTGAAATGTCTGGCGAGATTATAATTTATGGACGACCTTTGAGCAACGCTAAAATGGCTTTAAAAATGCCCATATACTTAATAGGGTTAAATGAGGGTTATAAATTCGTGCGAGGAACTACTTACTCAGTACTTTATCTTCAATGTTCTCAAAGTTATATGATTAGCCACACGTTAATAAAAATACTTTGGGAATCCGGAGAGTAAATTTTGATGGTTTTATCAACATTTACATGTTCTGGAAGTTGGTTGTATAAAGTCTTTATGTTAATGGTTGTTTTCAGTTTTATAATATTCCCTACTTTTTAAACCTTACTTTTGAGACTGCATATTCATAGACCAACAGAATATATTTTCCTACAGGGCCAAATTTTATCTGTGATAAAGAGGTGATGTACGGTGGGCCAGTGGACTCATCCGTCAGATTACATTTGTATTGACCAAACTCCTGGTTTCCTTGGTCAGGCTGTATGATTAAAGAATGTATGAGATGTATAACAAACTATGTTTTACTCTTAAGCTGTCTGGATTCCTACTTCTTCAAGTCCTTATTATCACAGAATCTGCTTTGTCACAGAACAGCATTAAAAATACTGGCTATATGTAGGAACCACTTTGCCACTGGCACAACATGGTATAATCAGCAGAACTTCTTTGGATTGAAAACTCTGGTGTCGTTCATACCGCTCTTCACACAACACATCTAGCTCTGTGGAAGCTCAAGGTTAAAGTGTTACAAGTATTATATCTCGATTATGCCATCACAATAAACAAATATGAACACTACATTAAAGTAGATGCTATATATTTACCGCTTAATTAATATTTGTGACCCATATGTTGAGTAGAAGTGTGCAAACTAATAGTCTATTCACATTAAAATGTTTATGCAAACGTTTCACTTCAGGTCCACCTACAAATAATGTCTTCCACCCATAGCCAAACTTTTGTCAAACTATTCTTTTAAACTGGATAAGGGTTTTTTTAAATAACGTTGAAGTAGTTCGATAGCATTCACCCTTTTGATGACTAAAAATCTCAGTGTACGTGAGAATAACTTACCCTTAATCTTATGTTCAATAGATGTTTCTATTCACGTGTTGGTAATGTGCTTATTGCTATAAATTTTATTTTAACACATCCAGGGTTTCTATATCACTCTTCAGACATTGATATTACATAGTGAACCATTTTTCGTGAATACAGAACGCATGTCTAAAATAAATTATCCTAGGCTATTTGTGAGACAGACGAGAGCTACATCTTAACCAAACGGTAATTTTGCCATATCATCTGTTCGTGCCCAGTCTACAATTGTTAAAGATTTTAAAGGTAAATACCAAAAGCAATCATAGGTATCCTAACAAAAAACCTTTGCAGCATTATTAATCTATAATGGAACTACTGAGTGAAAATCCGACCAATAAGTTCTATGTAAATGAAACAATTCAGTGAATGCACTTTAAAACATGCTCGGTTGAGCAGTGACTCAGTGGTCGACTTTTGCCACTAAGTCACAGGTTTGAACTCTGTCTCTCCTACTTCAGTTTGGACAGATAGGTATTATCACTACCCATCTTACTTAATGTGGCTCAAATTCAAGCACACGGATATGCACCTAGTAAACGAGTTAATAAAATAATCAAGTGGCAAATCTTGTCGCAAATATATTGATCAAACATTTATCTCTCATCAGTGTCTTTAACGTAGATACACTTACTTAGTCGCCGAAAAGTTTAGTCTTTCACTAAGCTAAAATTTCTATTAATATTTGAGGGATTTTGTTAGTGGACAATAGCTTCCCGGGGACAATATCTAGGCATTTTGGATGCAGATCTACAAAACCATATGTGTCATTGATTGAGCACGCAAAATCTGTGTACTCTGAACCATGAAGCTTTAGACTGCGACCAAAGGTCTGTTGGTACTCAACTATTTAGTTTTTCTTCCTGCTGGCACTTAGAGCAGTGATTCACAAATTCCGCAGTCTGTCGAGCCATGAATACCCAATAGACAAAACTGCTAACGAAGGACTTCATACAGATTATACATGGGTGACCGATGTGAATTTTCCGGAAAACTTTGAGGATGAAACGGTTCAGTTAGTCAGCGACAACGTAGGACCAGGCACATATATGCATCAGTCCAAGTTGCCATACCTTGTTAGCACAACAAGATGAACACCGGATTCATAGACATAATTAATTTAGTGGTGGTAGTATATAAAGAAAGGTTGTATATAAGGATATAGTATAGGAAGGAAAAAAAGTTATGAAGCAATTTTAATCTCAAAGTTTAAGGGAAGATAAAGAGTGTATACACCTACACCATAGTGATCGATTCTGAGCCATGTCACCCAGAGTCTCCAACCATTTATTACGATAGTCACGGGGACCTCAACCAGGTAGTCTGCATCTACCAACATGGCTCAGACTAGAAGTTAGTGACTTTAAGCACTGATGCCATGTTTTGGTTTGGCCGCCCCTAACTCTCTTCCAATCATCCCCTACACTGGTCAACATTGCGCGTCGTGGTAATCGGTGTTCAGGCATACGTAACAAGTGGCTCAACCATCTCAGTCGATGAAGATTCTTGACCTCATAAACTATTTTACCATCATTCCCTAATACCCTGCGTCTAACCTCACTATTACTTACCCGGTTATCCCAGCAGATGCGAGCAATATTTCTAAGGCATCTGTAGTCAAATACTAGTAACTCACGAGTGTCTTCTACTCTTAATGGCCATGTTTCGCAGCCGTAAAGTAGAACAGGACGAACTGCTGCGCAGTATACTCGTCCCTTAATTGATAGACGGATATCTCGTCTTCGCCATAGGTGACGTAAGTTGGCAAAAGCCAAACGAGCTTTTTGAATCCGTGCTGAGATTTCGTCAGACACCAACCCATTAGGGCTGATCAGACTTCCAAGATAAGTGAAGTTGTCGACGCGTTCGACTACTTCACTCCCTATCCTTAGTTCGGGTGTTGACGCAGGCCAGTCCTGGAGTAACAATTTACATTTAGATGTGAATAAACGCATCCCAAACATCCTGACATTATTCCTTAGTTCTAACAGAAGACTCTGCATTTTGCCAGCGTCTTCACCAAACAGGACTATGTCATCTGCATATTCTAAGTCGATAAGTGAACCTCTTGGTAGATCAATTCCTGAAAATTCAATCGACGAGAGTGTTATTTCCAGCAACAGGTCTATAATGAAGTTAAACAAAAATGGGGATAGTGGACAGCCTTGTTGGACACCACTTGAGGTTGTAAAATCATATGACAGTTCGCCATAAGCTCTCACTCGACTGGTAGTGTTCGAGTAAAGAGCCTTCACAAGGTTTATGTACTCCTCAGGTACACCTTTCAATGACAGTCACTGCCACAGAACCTCTCGGTCTACAGAGTCAGATGCTGCTTTTAAGTCAAGAAAAACTATCATTGTCGGACGCCGATAAGCATGTCTGTGCTCTAAAACTTGACGAATGGTGAATATGTGGTCGATACAGCCACGACCAGGTCTGAAACCAGTCTGATTTTCTCGTGTTTGCAGTTCACGAGTCTTAGGCATCCGGTAATTATTGAGGCTAGTATTTTAGATGCTATGTTAGTCAGACTAATCCCTCTATGGTTATCACAGGATGATTTTGGCCCCTTCTTATATATTGGGACAATCAGAGATTGTGACCAGTCAGATGGGATTACGTCCGTCTCCCAGATTTTAGCCAGAATATTAGTCAACCTAATCGCTAAAATTGGACCACCATATTTAAAGACCTCTGGAGCCAATCCATCTGGACCAGCTGCTCTTCCTCGTTTCAGATTACTTATAGCTTTTTGAACTTCAAGTAGGGTCGGGGGGCCTACTTCAATGTTCCATTCACGTTTTCTGGGAATAGTGGGTAGTTGTGCAGTAGCTGAAGGCCAGCTAAACTGCTCCTTAAAGTGTTCCGCCCATCATTCAAGACGTTTGGGTTGAGAGCAGATTAGGGTTCCATCTTTTTCCGAGACCGTCTCATTTACACTTGACTTCTTAATTCCGGTTTCTTTTATTAGTCTGAATAGTTGCCTGGTGTTGCCTACAGCCGATGCCTTTTCTATCTCTTTTGCTTTCGTTGCCCACCACTGCTCACGATCATTCCTTAGACTTTTAGTTAACCTGGATCTAATTTGTTTACGCTCTTCGTCGTGTTCAGAGCCTGATGGGATGAGTTTACGCGAATCCATCAGTGAAATAGAAAGGACCACCAGCATTCTACCATCCAACTCTATCCTGAACAATGCTTTCCTGTTGCAATTCAATCTTTAAATTATCTGCTTCCGATTATCGACTCAGTGTGTTCCCTGGTCTTTCTCTTTTCCTTTCGCCTTCGGGATTGCAAGGTAGCGCTTGTCTCAGGATGCAATTTGATGGGTTTCGTCAGTGTTTGTTTTAACCACTTCCAACGTCTTTTCCTAATTCCCTGAACAGATGGAACCTGGTTTATTTTCTCTCACATTAGGTTGTTGCTGATGGTATTTGATCAACGGACATTGAGTATCTTGTGTAGACAATTGTTTACAAATACTTTTACTCTCGATGATGGTTGTAGTAGTCCTCCAAGTTTCAGCTCTATACAGTAGAAATGTCTTGACGTTAATATTGAAGATTCTGACTTTGATGTTTGCTGATAGTTGTTTCGATTCGCATATGTTCTTCAACTGTAGAGATGCTGTCCTCTCTTTGTCAATCCTTACCTTTACATCTGCATCAGATCGTCCTTGTTCATGGATGATGCTGCTCACATATGTGAAAATTTCCACCTGTTTCACAGTTTCTCCATCAAGTGGAATTGGTTTGGTGTTCTCTGTGTTGTATTTGAGTATATTGGTCTTTTACTTGTGTATGTTGAGGCCTACTGCTATAGAGACTGCTGTTACACTGACTGTTTCCACCTGGATTTGTTGGTGTGTATGGAATAGAAGAGCTAGGTGATCAGGGAAGTCCAAATCGTCTAGTCGCAGACAATCTTTGTGTTGTATTCCGTGTTTTCCATGAGATGTGGAGGTCTTCATAATCCATTCGACCACCACCAGAAGAAAGAGCAAAGGTGATAGTAAGCAAACTCATCTGACACCGGTCTTGACTTGGAATGGATCTGTGAGCTGTCCACCATACAGGAGTTTTCAGAGTGGTTTGTGATAAGAATTACGTATGTGTTGACAATCTTCTGAGATGCTCCTTAGTGTTGAAGATGGTTCCATGAGATTCTGCTGTCGACAGGGTTAGGTGTTTTCTCATAGTCAATGAAGTTGACGAATAGTGCCGAGTTCCATTCAACTGACTGTTCAACAGTGATCTGTATAGTCGTAATTTGGTTTGTACATGCTCGATCCCTACGAGATCCAGTCTATTGATCTGGAAGTTGGGGTTCTACTGAATCTTTCATCCTGTTGAAGAACACTCTGTTTGAAACTTTTCCTGATACTGATAGTAGTAGTTTGGTGCCTGTGTAGTTCTCAGACTTACTGAGGTCTACTTTGTTTTGTATATTGATGATTTGTTCTTTTCAATCTGTCTGTGGCACTTGTTCTTCCATCCAAATCTCCCTCCATCGAACATGGAGCATCTGTGAAGTTACTTCAATGTCCGACTTGGGTGTTTCAGTTGATATGTGAGATCCTGCTCCTTTTCCACTCTTGATTTGTGTGATGACCATAGTGATTTTTTTGATCGTTGGTGGAGTGAGATCTATAGGAAAGTGTGTATTTGGTGGTTTGATGTCTGGTGGATTCAGTGGAGCTGACCTACTCAAGAGCTCTTCAAAATGTTCTATCCACCTGTTCCTCTGTTCTTGAATCTAACTAACTAACTACACACTGAAAGAATTAATACATCTAAAAATGCATCAGAAGTTAACTGGACAAAAATCACCTTAAATCGATATACCAATTTTAAGACTGATTTTCTTCCTTTAGCAGTGTTCTTAGTAATAACGTCGAAACACCTGTTGCGGTTTATTCTCTTCTTAGTTATTTAATCAGTCATTCTTTTTCCTCAAAAAAATACTTTGCTAAATATATTCAGTTGTTTAGATGATTGTTTGCTAACAATTAATATTCAGCTGAGTCGTAATTCTGTTAATTCTCATACTACTTTTGTGTTATAGAACTCATGGTAGTAGTGGTGAGGATCTGACTACTCAAGAAGTTGATCCTAATACCCATGGCTGGCATCGTATGAACCGTAACGCCTGGAATGCACAATCGGGTAGTTCTTCACACCACCCTCATCAACGATATCCAAGTGGACCAACTGGGGACGTCGATCCTTCAACTCTCGTTTCCCAAGCAAATGGTCCCTTGCGTCCCACTAATGAAACAAAAAGAGGAGGGCATGGTGATTGGTCCCGAGGATGTGCTGGTTGGCGTCAACGTTCTTACAGTGGTAGTGAGCAATCTGATATCTTCTATGTAAGTTCTACTCTACTCTAAATATCTTCAATGTTTCCTTGATTTGGTCAACTAGTTAAGCTGACTTGTAAAATTGTTCTCCTGATTTTGAGCTATTCACTGAGTCCTGAATTATCGTAGTCTAAAATTCATTTGTAATCAATTATAACATCGTGAAAATGTACTACAGAGATAAGGTTGTTAGTGTCTTGATTGTGCACCTTAAAATGAACATCTGCAAAGTCCAAGTCATCCAGCTACATCCAAAGTCGCCATTGTGTACCGTGCTTGAGATGGGGATGTCCTTACAATTGCTACGAATAAACATACGAGAAGACAACTGCGATACCATATACAATAGTTCAACTCGTTTCTAGCCCTCTAGCTACTCGTAAAGACAAATCTTAGTAAAAAGATTGATTGGAAAAAACCAAAGATTAAGACGTATATCTTAGTTAATTCAATTATATATCAATTCAATGATTATTAACTGCTGAGCTTCACCAACCGAGTACTTGTCATTGAGCATAAAATCAGCACAAGGATAATGAATCGAGAATCAAATGACTAATTACGACTGTAATGCACCCTCCAACAGTCATCCACTTAACAGCTAGCAAAAACTGAAAAAAATGAGAATAAACAGTTTTGTCTGACAGCATTTAGAATGCATCTGTGAGTTGCTCTCGATGCACAATTTTATAATCCACTCCCTTGCAGATGTTCTGTATAATAGTGGTGATAATTCCACAACGTTTCTCTATTCACATTATCGAGCTATTTCTCGTGTCAAAAGAAGCTGATGTACTGCAATTCGTCCCATTCAGTTGATTGTTCAACAATCATTCACAGTATTATCATTTGGTCGGTAATTGGTAAATCCTTGCAAAAGTTAGCTTGTTGATCTCCAAGTTGGTCGTCTACTGAACGTCTGACTTGGTTCAGCTACACTTGGGAAATTTTCCTGGTACTGACATTCGTATGGTTTTCGTACTTCCTAAGACCATTGTCTAGAATCTTGATGAGTTATAATTTTTTCTAGTCTGTTGGTACTTGTTATTCCTTCCAGATATTTCTAAAGCTAGTATGGAATACCTTTAAAGTTACCTATATATCTGAGTTTAATGCTTCTCTTATAAGTTATCTGGTCCTACCACCATGCCATTTCTAATTTGTCTAATGGTCCTACCTGGTGTTGCTTATCCTGACCTTGGTGTTTATGCGTCTCGTCAGGATGATCTTTTTTTGGATATTTCCCCAGGATGGACTGAAGCCCTTCATTATCGTTAGTAGTGTGTAGCAGTAGATGAAATTCACTTCAGTCCTATACTTTGTTTGGAAGAATGCTTTGATGATCCTGTATTCATGGGTATCCCATCCTATAGGCGCTTTTTGTGCTTCTTTGCAGAGGATCATTACAGTTCCTCGTATATGGGGTGACATTATCTTCTCCAACGTCTCTTCCGTAGCTTGTCTTTTCTCTCTAGATTGTGTCCGATGTCACTTATTCCAAACAGGACTAGCTTGCATTTTTGCATTTCCTGTTATTTGAATGGCCCTTCTGGCCTATCACGTTGTTTGTACATCCCACTTTCCTATGTTGATTTTCGTCTTGACTGGAAGAGGGGTTGTCAGCATCGTGGCTTTTGAAGACTATCGACTTTCACCACAAGGCGTCATGATTCATCTATATAAAAGGACCTCTCAACTCTCAGAGCAGCGTTCAATTGTTTTTTTTCTGGACAGCAATTTTATGGTAGGGTTCCTTTTTTCGAGTTGTCGTTGGTAACCCTATTTTCAGCCATCCTTTACCCGTGCTTGGGATTGGGAGTAGCTATAAAGGAGCTCCAGGTTAATTTAAACAACTCACATTAACACAGAAAAATCATTTAACTTCTTTGAATGTTCAATGACTTCACACATCCACTTATTTTCTCTTCAGATTCATTGTTTTTATATGTAAATGACGATTTTTCTATTGGCAATTGGAATTATGATGAAGCATTTTCACATTAGCTACCCCAATTAACCTTTTCTCCTTACATCAACAAATTTGTTTAGTATAACCACTCCAATCACCGAGGTCGGGGTAATGGGCACCCATCTAATGAAGTTGATGGAAATATGGGACGTGGACGTGGTCGAGGGCGTGGTTCAGGTCGTCAAGGCTTAACACATCGAGAACCTGTTGGTGGTGGTCAGTCACAAACTTCAGGCGGTAATGCTTGTAGACCTGCCAGTTGCTTAGTTGATACTCCTGGGGGGCAATCAGTTGTAAGTTGTCACCCATTCGGGTTACATTTTTATACTCCTGTATAATTTTTGGTCAATTTTATTAACCGCGTTATTGAATCCGTTCCTTATTTTATTTAGTCAAAATACTGACTGACTGAATTTTCCTTGTTGAATAAGTCCTACAAATCTTACATAGAATCCTAACACTTATCAGTACTTTGGGTCTGTGGATAACACAAATGCGTTGATCGACGAGGTCTCAGGCATCTTTTTTGAGTGTTATATCGGTTCACTATAATTAATTGGTAGTTTCTCGACTTCTATCCTTATCAATTCGTAGTTGAATAAATTGATTAGTTTGCCGTTGAAAAAGCTCTTTTTATAAGTTAAACGAAAGTAGATATATTTGTTCCAATTGACGTTTACCTCTTCGACTATTTTTACTCAAACAATCACTGCAAATAAACGAACACTGAACGGTTATCTTTGTCTGTTACCATCAGTATGAACCTTCATCAAAGTTCACCATAAAGTTCCTGTATACAATACAAATCTTTCGAACTAACATATGTAAAGTTTACTAATGTCCTATTTATTATAAAAAAAAATACTAGAGTAGTTTCTCAAGCTTAGGGATATCTTTGTGTGTACAGTAAAAGCTTGTGCACAGTTCCAACTTACCATGGCCGTCTGTTCATTGCTCTTACCCTTCTCAAAAGTTTTTTCGAATCTCATTCTTGCGTAATCAACCTGTTTTAATGGTTTGATTATTTAACTTTGTTTCTACCTGTTTTTTTAAAAATTAATCTGAGGTTAAGCGTTCGCGCGCGAAACCAAAAGTCCTAGGTTCGATTCCAACTTGCGAGTCTTGAACGCTCACTCCTGAGGAGTTCTGTACTAGGACGAAACGGCCATCCAGCGCTTCCAGTTTTTCAATGGTTCTCTAGCATTGATCCGTTCATGATTTCAGTAAAACTAAAAAATCTCCACAACCCTATACGGATAATAATTTATGATTTTTACAAACAGTTATATTCAGTTGTTTAACTCATGACGTTTGCAATTCCTATTCTTATTATGATACAACTAGTTATAATCATCAACCGATTATATTGTTTTATTTTTTTCATCTGTTGAATTACTAACTGATTGCTATTTTTAGAGGAAACATTAAGGTATACCATCAAATCGAAACACCGCCTTAAACAGTCAGCTACAATGTAGGATCAGGCACATATATGCATCGGTCCAAGTTGCCACACATCACTCATTAGCGCAACAAGATGAACACCGAATTCATGGAAGTAGTTAATTTGGTGGTGGTGATGGTGGTGGTAATATATAAAAGAAAGGTTGTATATAAGAATGTAGTACAGGAAGATAGACAGATATGAAGCAATTTTAACCTCAAGGTTTAAGGGAAGACAGAGAGTGTATACACCTACTCCATTGTGATCGATTCTGAGCCATGTCACCCAGGGTCTCCAACTGTTGGTTACGATAGTCACGGGGACCCCAACCAAGTGGTCTACATCTACCAACATGGCTTAGACTAGAAGTGCTTTCAACAGTGATTATCTGTAATGTATATATATATATATATATATATATAATATTTAATTCGTCTAAGTTTCGTTTTTCCTCTCTCTCATGCTTTTCAAATACTAAGCAACAAACCAAAAATGGGAGGATTTATTCCAAATCATTTTGTAGTGATCCACCGCCTGGTTTCGATCTACCAATTCATAAGAAACCTTCTAATGAGTCATCATTTGACAAAACTTGTCAAAAAGAAGATGTTTTCATAGATAATATTGATTCAGTACCTATTCATCATTGCCAACCTGTGAAGGATGATTCTTCAAAGAGTTCTAAACAATCTATTATACATCCTTGTCATTGGTATTATATCGATTTGTTTACATGTACTCAAGGTCCATTTACAAATCAACAAATGAGTACATGGCTTGCTAGTGGTTATTTACCATTATCATTAAAAATACGTCGTGATTGTGATGAATGTTTTCTTAGTTTAGGTAGGTGATTATTTACTTTTACAGTATAGAAGATATTTTGTATTAATAATTGAATCATTTAATTTATATGGGTCTCTCTGTGATTAACTTAAATTTCTTCCTTATTACTAATATTCCTATTTACATTACACTGCATTTACAGTCTGCAGAATAAAATTGATACTTTCTCAAAAAGTTGACTCATGACGTCAATAACCACGTTCTACTTACTGCCGCCGGAGCTGGTGGACTTTGTCTTCAAATGCCCTGGTACGACCGAGAGTGGAGAGAGTCCGCTCTCCCTCTCCAAATGCTCTCATATGGCCACACGTATACAGCCTCTGACAGGGAAGTCCTACTCACCGCCCACTCGTGGCGGGGGTGTTGTTCACAAAAGTGAGAGGACGAAAAGCGGATATCCGGCGCTTTAACCGGGTTGATGGAAACGGCGAGTCTACCTAGGGGAGTTGGAAAACCCTGGTTCCAAACTAATGGTGCACATGGGCTCCAGTATCCTGAGGGAACAAATGGCTTATGAATCAATCATTGGTGACCGGCTACCATGGGACTGCATCTCCTTACGATTCTCCTTTGCCTTGTGGATCAGATCTTTAGGTCAAAGGCTCCGGGTGTAGCCCCTTAAGAAAACCACCTGCTTCGGTCTGGGCACCTGGGCAGTAACACTGCCCTCACACAAATCAAATGAGATTTGTGTAGCGCATATGCATCTGATACCCCCTTGTATCAATATTTTTGCGTTTAAATAAATAAATAACCCGAAATATTACTCATCAAAAGCGTTAATATGACTCGAAATAAATAATGCACAGTGCAACAAAGAGATAGGAGTTGAATCAAATAAATGCACAACACACGCACACACACGAACGTATATGTGACATACAGTGTCGAACCATGAGGACATGATTATAAGAAGTATGTATCGTGAAGGTCACGATTTCCTATGTAAAAAGTGAGTTTCAGGATAGTAAAAAATAACTCAGTAGCCGAATTCTGTCAGTTATATAGGTTCGTCCAGAATCACATAGGCGTGCAATGAGTTGCCATGCATTCATTTGAAAGCCTAATTTCATTCTTCGCTGATGCAAATTTTTCAATCAATGTACTGACCGACATGAATATCTTTAAACCTTTTGGAAACCGCATCATCCCAACCATTTGACCTAGCTCATATAACAATATGCTTTAAACACTATAGATACAATGTAATCACAGGTGAATATTTTTGATAAAAAGTACAGAAACCGTGTCCATCCTATAATCTTTCCACTGATGACCAAATCAACCAAAAGACTTCACTCCTATTGTAATTAAATCTAGGTTTCAAGATGTCATGATGAAACTCATAAATTCTCTGTGAGCAGCATCTTTTCAATACAAATTTATCATTTTCTCTCCATCATTTTATACAAAGCTGTGATTCAGCAATCTGACATCATCACTCCACCACGAATTCTGATTTATTCAACCTAATTTACTGAAATACGACAAAGACCATTACATCGACCTTGACATAATTACTAAAGTGTCACCATATGGCCACCTTCTTTTGTTTCCACAGAACCACTTACATCAGGCAGGTCCCGACACATTATTATAGATACCGAGATACAATAATATATGCTTGGAAATAGTCTAAATAATAGTCCAAGGAGTATAACAATGTGTAAACGCCACATTCAATATCTTAATCATGATTTACACATGTTACCCGGTCGGTTTTCATAACATTTATGACTCGCTGACTTCGAAAAAAATAAGTTGTCAGCAGTGTAAAATAATTGTATTGGATGAAAATCTGTTCACTGTTTAGAGTTTCTTTGATAGAATGCGGTGGGGTGATAATATCATACAATGCAGCTGTTTGAAATGCTACTAGGCATAGTGACGAGTAATGATTGAGCCATGTTTCTTTATTCGAATAGATATTTCCTCTGACTACTTTATCTTTTACATGATTAGGTCTGAATAGAAAGACAGAATAACATGTGTATCATTTTAAGTTGCTATGTTCTTAACCACTATTTTCATCCGTGTTCTATAAATCATTTTGTCAGTTTGTCTTTTTCAACATGAATTTATGTTTATGGAATCCTGTTTCTTTTAAATATATTCACTTCATTATAATTCAAAGTTCCAGTATTCATGTTAATCATGTCAGGAAATCAAATCACTTGATTGAATTTACTCAAAAATAATACGTAGTACATTCACAAAAAAGGTTTTAGGTATTCATACGAACTAGTTCATGCTACAATATGCTTATTCACTGACTTAATGATTGTCATCCTACTTCATCTGTGTTTCGGTTTAACCTGCTAACAATGTTTGTGCTTCGTCGAAGTTAGATACATTAGTCTATACTCGACCGTTGCTGCTACCTTAACATGATGGTCGAGCTTGCTTATCGTGATGAACCAATCGAGCTATACTGGCTGGAACAATCGTTCCTCAAGGTCCTACCATGCGAGACAGGTTAATTGAAGAGCGGTGAGACTAAAAGCAACAAATCCAAGGTATTGAAATTATTCCATTCCACCCCTGCTTCAGTTTGGGCACCTGGGTAGTATCACAGCCCTCACACAAATCTCATTTGATTTGTGCGGCGCATATGTATCTGGTGCTTCCTTGTACTAATATTTATGTGTTTAAATAAATAAATAAATATTCCACCTGACCTGGCGTACTTGAACGGGAAATAAATCCTTATATACTGTCTTCCTGAATCTCTTTTTTTTCTCTATCTCTCTCTGTTACTTTGAGCTACATTCCATCTATATTTGTGTGTCTGCTAGTATTTGATCATAGGTATATCCTGGGACCACCAAGTAAGTAATGCAGTTGTTTGGAAACGGGCACTAGGTAAAGATGGCAGATTGATTGATGAATTAGTGAAACTTGATCAGTTGAGATGACTGGGACATGCGTTACATATGCCCAACCACCAACTGCCCCGACGTGCGATATTTTATGGTATAGGAGTAGGTTGGAATAAAGCTAGGGGCAGTCACAACAAAACGTGAGACAAATCCATGAACTCACTGACAAGTGGACTAAGCCATGTTGATAAGTGTAGACTACCTGATTGGGACTCGCGAGATGATGGCGATCGATGATTAGAGACATTGAATGACATGACTCAAAATCGTTTGCAATGGCGTAGGTGCATCCACTCTTTGTGTTCTACTAAATTGTAATCTTCTGAATTCTTCATGTCTCTATCCTTTTTCTCTTTTCAAATTTATTATACTCCTTGAATAACATCTTCAAACCCTAATCTTTCTGATTAGTGCTTATACTTTTACTACCTTTGCTACTATGGGATTTGAATGGACAACTGCATCTCCGTGTTAATGTGGTATGGCAACTTGAACTGATGTATGTACGTACGAAGTTCTACGTTGTTGCTGGCTGACTGACTGATATTTGTGTGTATATATATGTGTCAATATAGGTAGCTCTCACTCATATTGTATGTATTATCTATATTGATTCTATATTTGTTTGTTCATCTTCTATAAAATACAATTATATTTCTGCACAGTTTCATGATTCTCAATGGTCTTATTTCACTAATTTCTTTTTATTTAAAGCTGACCATATGAATTTAGCTGGACGCATTCCATTTTGGACTGGCTATAATCAACCACCTATTACAAATGTAAATCTATCAACACTTACTGGATTAAACTATAATAGTAATAATAATAATGGTAATCAGGTATTAATTCATTCAACTATTATCAACAACCAAACACCCTCCTCCTCAACTCCACCAGGTATTGCAAACCGTAAAACAGATTGTGAAATTTCACTTCCACAATCCACATTAACAACATTTGATGAAAATACAATTCAGGTAAATACTATTACTTATTACTACCACTACGTTGATATGTAGTATATTTTGTTAGTTAGTTAGTTGTTGCTATTTGACTGGTCTTTCCTGTCTCCCACATTGTCCGGACGTTCCATGTACCTATAAAGAGTGTTGCTCTAGTTGTTAGAAGGTGCATCGACCTCTTGACTTCCGAAAAATTTCGGCTTTCATCATGAGGCGTCATAATTATTCCTTCAACTCCCAGGGCAGATGGTTTGAATTATTTTTTCTGGTTAGCGTTTTTTTAGTGAGTTATTTTTTCTACGGGATCGGGTCGCTAACCCCATGCCACATCCTCCTCCTTTGTGTGGGCTTGAGACCGGCAGTAACTCTAGAAGAGCTACAGGTGGAGTCAACTAATTTCAAAGTGAGAATCTTCAATACGAACGTCAAGGTAGTCCTACTGTACGGAGCTGAAATGTGGAGAACCACTACATCCATCGTCAAGAAGTTATAAGTATTCATAAACGGTTGTTTACGCAAAATACTCAACATTCACTGGCCGGATACTATCAGCAACAGCGTTTTATGGGAGAGGACAAATCAACTTCCAGCTGAATCGGAAATTAGGAAAAGACGTTGGAAGTGGATAGGATATACATTAAGGAAATCACCAATGTGGATTACAAGGCAATCCCTAACTTGGAATCCGGAAGGGAAACAGAAAAGAGGAAGGCCAAAGAACACATTACGCCAGGAAATAGAAGCAGATATGAAAGGGATGAATGTTAACTGAGAAGGATTGCTCTGGACAGAGTTGGATGGAGAATGCTGGTGGGCGGCCTATGCTCCTCCACGAGGGATAACAGGCTTAAGTAAGTAAATAGTTAGTTATTATTTCTAAGTGACAATTTATTAACATATATATCACTAATATCATTGTGAGCAATAAACTTTTAAAAAGTAATGAGTTATGGCCCATTAACATCAAGCAGACATAACTAACAGTTCAGTAGTATCTATTTTGAAATATCGAATAATAAATATATCTTCATCATTTCCAACATTTTAAGTCATCATCCTCAAGTGAATCAATCATAAGTGGTTGAAGTTATCTCACATGACGGCATTCTATAAAATCAACACCTCCATACACAATTCAAGCTGTGAAAGATAACGACTTGTAATAGATTAATACTGTATTATATTCCAACCACTTTTAACCTGCTCTACTAGATAGTAGATCATAACATCATGGTAGGGTTCTATTTTGTAATGCATATCTGTGTCCATATTGCTAAAATCATACAATAAGCAAATGCAAGTCTATTGATTTCGATCAGTATATGATCATTGTTCACCAATTCTTATTTGTTAGAACTTTTTTTTTGTAAAATAACAACATATTTTATTGAATTGTTTGTTTCAATCTTCCTATTGATGCTTAGGACTGTAACTGGTCAGTCTCTTATTGGCATATGTACATACTGTGCGTATTACCTCCATATAGCATTAATTCACAAGCATTATAAGCAAAGATGGATAATGGCTAGCAGTGGAATCCAGCTTGATGCGCGTTTCGTCTTATTTGGGACTCGTCAGATGGATGTACCTGCATCTCAGATTTGTTGATGTTCACTCTGGGACTCGAACCCAATACCTATCACTTCAAACGCCATCGCGTTATCCACTTAGTTACTGAATCCTGACAGCGTCAGAAATACAATTTTTCTACTCAATGGAATATAACAAAAATATATTTATGATATATGTATGATTAAAAATTGTTCATAATAAGACTAATTATTGACAGTGGTATTGATCATGAACCACTCACGCCTTAGTAATCAATGGCCTAACATCTGATTGTAGTTGTGCTATAGAGAATTGTTAATGTTGACTTTGTTAGCGTTTTAATAAAGTTAGCTGTTAGTGAAACTATTCATCATAAAAACATAATATATTCATCCATTCTCAATTCAAAAGATTTGAATGATGATTGAAACATTCAGAGGTTCAGTTCAACTGACCTTCAACTATAGTACAGTTACTAACTATCTTCAAACAACCTGAATGAAAACTAACACAAGATTTACAGCTCTTACTTACGTCTATCACCATCCCTTGTGGAGGAGCATAGGCCCCCCACTAGAATTATCCATGGTACTATCCTGAGCAGTTGTTTTCGATTACTAGTCATCCTTTTGATGTCTGCTTCCAATTTCCGACGCTGTGTTCCTTGGTCTTCTTTTTTTGTCTTCAGGATCCCTTATCCTCTGTCGTTTGCTAGATCTTCCACGTATTTCCTTTTGTCAGCTCTAATGCTCTTTTTCTTTTGTTTGTTTGCTTCTGTATATTCTGTCTGTGTCTTGGCTTTCTCTGCTCTTATTCGACTCTTGTTAATTACTGTTTTCTTGTTCTTTTTTTCTTGAATCTTATCCAGAGTTTCGATAGAGACCTATTCCTTATGATGGTGATTGTTATGGCTCAGCACCTTCTGACATGTTGAAGTTAATGTTTATTTGATCTGTTTTCAGTTGTTCGTCATAGTAGTTTCCCCTTCTTTTAGTAAATCTTGCGACGCGAAACTGGTAGGTACTGGGTTCGAATCTCGCGAGTGCGGGGTCGTAGGTGCGCACTGAGGAGTTCCATAATAAGACGAAACGGCCGTCCAGTGCTTCCAGGTTTCCCATGGTGGTCTAGCTTCAATTGACTGGTGATTTCAACTAAGAAAAATCTTGAAAGCTCCAACAAGTTATTCTAATCTTGTTACCTACATAGTTCTATTCAGTTATCAATTGGTCCATAAACTGATTTCATATTTCAATTTAACCATCTGAATATTAACAATATAATCTGAGTAAATATATCTTTCTTTGTAAGCAAAGATGGATAGTGGCTAACAGTGGAAACCAGTTTGACGCGCGCTTCATGATATTTGTGACTCGTCAACTGGATGTACCTGCATCTCAGAGTTGATTTTCACTCTGGGACTCGAACCCATTACGGTTCACTTCAAACGCCATCGAGTTATCCACTCAGCCACTGAGTCCTGATAACCACTTGCTTGTGCAATAGGGTGAAGCTTCAATTCATTTAGTATTGTTTGTGTGAATCTTCCCATAGATGTTATAGCAACTATCCTATAATCAATTCCGATTATAGTCAATTTTGGTTAAGCCCTTTTTATTAACTTACTTAACAGACATCGTCATTTGGATAGTAACAATTTGCATATTCTTTGCACTGCTATACCACTAGAGCACATGACACTCTATCCGAAATATTGACTGCTTAAATATCATTCGATGACTCATACCCCTCCCCATATGTGTACGCACGCAAATATTATTATCAGCCTTTGTTTTGCTTTGCTGTGCCCTTATTAAATTTGACTATAAATTGCCTATGTAATTACTTACTATTCGCCTCGTTCGTTTCCTTCTCTTGTTCGCCTGTTCATTCGCTTGCTGGCTCGCTCGTTGATATTCTCTCAGGTGTTGTTAGCTTTTTGACCTTAGTTGTTTGACAATAAACTGTAGTTGCTGCTATCCTTTGTCTTCTGATTTTACACACCGTTAAGATTAGAATTATAACGGTTATCAAAGTAAACGATTAACGAATCGCGGCACTACAATGTGTTAGGACAATTGTTTGGATGAAATTCATCATTATGACTTCTCTTAATTCTAATTTTTTTTTAGCTTCAAAACAAAGGTGACGTTAATGTTTCTGATAATGATCAAACTCAGGTAACAATCAATAATGATTCAATAACATCACATATCTCAACATTATCATCAAATACTATCTCGTCTTCCATAGCTGAATATTCAGAATCCCAAACTCTTCATCATTCATCTTCATTTACTGGAATTGATGATAAGGCATTGTTGGATTTATATAATGAAGCTAAAACTATTGCATTACATACATCTAAAATTGAAGCAGAACGTTTAGCATTAGCAAATAAATTAGCTGAAATTAATAGTACTACAGCTAAATTATTATCAAATCTATGTCCAACACAATTAAGTTCTACATTGACAGAATCATTAATTCGTACAACAAATGCTGTACAAACAGAATTAGCACGTATATTAGAACCATGTATTAATAATGATGGTGATAATAATACTATTCCTGGAACTACCTTCTCCAATACTCTTGACGACGGTTCGAATAATAATATTAAAACTGATAATGACATCATTTCACCTATTCTTAATGATCATAGTAACAGTACAACTATTAATTCGTCATCGAAATTTTCAACATTACCATCTTTAGGAATAGAACTTACAAAATCATTATCTACTCTAACAATACTTGATAATGAACATCTTTTAGATTCAACAATTAACAATCATGAACCTAATAATAAGCATACAAATAATAATGCACATGTTGATAACAACAATATTGCTTCTGATGATAATGATAAAAAGCATCAACAATTTCAATCGATAGAAAAATCAATTCCTGAATGTGACATTGCTGTATCATTGATTTCAAATAATGAAAAGGAAACATTAACAATTACAAAGAAATCTAAACGTAAAAATAAGAAAACTAATAAAAAGTGAGAATGATAATTATTATTTTAATTATAAACTAAGAATAATATTGAATGAATTCATTTGTTTATCCTCGATGTGTTGATGATTCAGTCCGTGATTAAGGTGTCCATCTTCTAGTCAGTACATTACAAGTTCAAACTGTCCATCATCTACTTCAGTTTTTGGCAAGCATGAATAGCATCACCCTTTAGACTTTGTAATTAGAGTATGATTTAAAGTTAAATACACAAATCTATACCTTATAAATAAGTTCATATTAAGTATTAAACAAACTTATAATCTTTTTCATAATTGAAATCATGAGTCAATTGAACCTAGACCACCATGGAAAAGCTGGAAGCACTGGACGGTCGTTTCGTCCTATTATGGGACTCCTCATGATTTCAAGTATGAAAATATTGAAATATCCACAAAAACCCCTTCTAAACTTATGATCGACCAATTTTGTTCTTTAAATGAGTAATATGAGATTATCGGATAGAAGGAATGTTGACAGTAAAGCTAATCTGTATGATGTATCCCCGACAATGTACAGTGAATCTATTCCGTCAACTCTTATACCTTCATGCATAAAATAAAACACATCATATCATTGAGTCGAAAAACTCTGTTTGATAACGAAATTGCAGTTTTTAGCTATTCCAGTTGTTACATCGTGTGTTCCAGACTGTCTGTATCTTACATTATACATCCCGATATAATTGAACAATCAAATTTATTGCGTCCTAAACAATCGTCTTTGTATCTGGAGACGACTGCCACCTCTCGCAGCTTCACTGGCCTATGTGTAGCATCAGGTTCAAAGCGGAGAATGCTCTCCCAGAATGGATTATAATAGACAATCACTTATGCGCTTTCCTGTTAAATAGGTAAGTAAGAACACGAAAAGATAGGAACACACGCCTTTGCCTCACTGTTTTCTCTGTCTACGCTCTCACTGATTGCAGTTCGAATAAAGTAACGGATGAATTTTAGAAAACGCTTCCTCTTCTACAAATAGCCGAATGCTCGAATATCGTAATTGTAGCAAGAGATTTAAACGCTCAAATAAGTAGTTTAAATGAAAGTGAAAAAAACAGGTTATTCTTATAATGTTTCAGTTCAACGAACAGACAACAACGAATGGTTGCTGCAACTCTGCTTAAACTGTTGATTCTTAGCAGGTACCAACTTTAAGCATGAAAACAGACATCGTCTGATATAGCGACCCACACAATCGAATCAACGATGGATGGAAATAGACCATATCATCATCAACCATCGTTGGAGATCCTCAAAAGTAGACTACAGCTTATTTTGAATCACATATCTAGACTTTGATTATCCTCCTGTACATATATGTGTTTGTTTGCATTTACGAAACACAAAACATAACAAGAAAATCCTTTCGATTTCAATTTAATGACGAAAAGGTTAAGAGTATATACTATGAACAACTAGAGAGGTAGTTATTTATTCATTTAAACACATAAACATTGGTACGAGGAGGCACCATATATATATGCGCCGCTCAAATCAAATTATTTGTGTGAGGGCTGGGATACAGCTCAAGTGCCCAGACTACGCAAGATGTGTTGGCAAATTAACTAACTGACGAGTGAATGAGTTAATGGAATTGAACGAGTACATACATCAAACATTAAAATCAGTCATCTAGCGATTTAGCGAGTCAAAGTATACGCATGGACTGTCGCATGGATAAAGAAGGGGCAAATCGTTACTGACAGAAATGTACTGCCCGTCTATTAATTATAAAGGGTTTAGTGAATTTGAACCAAACCATGATGTGGTATCAGTCCATGAAGATACTAACTGTTGGACTGAGGCATGTAGGTACTAGATACAGTATAACTAGTTGAGGTCGTCTCGTTTATCTTAACCATTAGTTAGAGTTTGTGTGGCATAATCTAAAATCGTATGTTCACTCTTTGTCTTCCATTAGAATTTAAGTTTCTAAATTACCTCACAACTTCTTTTTATTCCACTAACTCATATTTTCTTCTCGGATCGTATCATTGATCCCTAATATTTTTTCTATTCCCACTAATATTTTTACTATCTGTACTACTCTTAGATTTGCTCTGACTATTTCATGTCACTGTTCTAATGGGGGTATTTCAACTTGAACCGATGTACACATATACCAGGTTCTACATTGCATTTGACTGACTGACTTCTGATATCGTTATCCTGAGTGGCCTATCTCCATATAATCTTTCACCATAGTTTTAATTGAAAAACCATACTAATATAGAATATTATATGTTCTGAAGATTATTGCTGATGATTCGGTAAAAAAGTATCTAGTTATAGAGGATTCAGAGATCATTATCACTTATTTATTTATTTACTTAAATTCAAAACAGTGGTTCCCTTTGATAAATTTGAACAGAGAAATGAGAAAACAAATTTTGTGAGATAGTACCATTTCGTGCTTTCTCGTCAGTCACATACAAGCAACATGTTATTCGTGTAAATACAGTTTTAAAGATAAGGTCAAAATTTCTTATTTAGCATGACATTCACTCACTAGAACCATGGTAAACAAAGGTCAACGTACAGTTGTTTTTGAACACATAAAGTTGGACTTTTCCGACCAATCAAGATAGCTTCGAGTAGTTTAAGTGTGTGTGGATTTTGATGACATGTCACAACTCTAAAGGCTGATTTTGGGTCAATTTGATGACCACTTATCATTAGATGTTTTGCAATGGACGAGGCTGGGTTTCTTGATCGATCTTGAGATGACGGGCTAGGTGGATGAATCATGGATTTGATTAACCATCTTGGAATATGTTCCCCTATCCTGTCCTCCAATCGGCGATCTGTCCTACCTAAGTAACTTTCTCCGCAGTTACATGTGAATTGGTAAATACAGTGGGATTTGAACTGAATCGGTCTTGGAGACTTGATAGGGTTAACTGAGATCGATTGAGTTGTTGTGATAAGCCTCAGATTAGCTGCATTGAAGGTCTTTTTTATTGCAGCTGCAGTCTGTTTGGTTGTAATTTTCATGCAATGATCACCCTTGAAAGGTAACTGTAGGTATACTGGTTTCTTGGGCACATCCGCTGCTATCAGTTTCGTCGTATTTGTGTTTTGATGACCAATAAACGTTTCAGGATATCCGTTTAATTTAAGTGTCTCAGTAATAAACCTAAATTCGTCATCCAATGTATCTACAGTGCAGATTCTACTTACTCGAGCGAATAAAGTTTTGACAATAGAACGTTTATATTGTATGGGGCAGAAACTAGTGAAGTGGATGTACTGTCCCGACCAGGTGGGTTTGCGATGTACTCTGTGTCTGATCGATCCGTCTGGACGGCGATGGAGCAGGATGTCGAGGAAAGCTAGTTCATTATTGTTTTCTTCCTCATAAGTGACTTTCAGATTCGGGTGAATTGCATTAAATAAATCATTGACTTGATTAATATCTGTAGACTGTGGTAATATGACAAGAATATCGTCGACATATCGTTTGTAAAGTGTAATACCATCAATGAAGTGACTCACTTGCCTTTCTATCATTCCCATGAATATGTTTGCTAAAACAGGTCCGACAGGGCTTTCCATAGCCACTCCATCGATTTGCATATATGCTTTACCTTGGAAATAGAATTTTATATTCTTTGTGCACAGCAAAATTAGATCTCGAAGATAGGTAGTAGGGATGGGTATTCTTATGTTGTGTGAAGTTATGAAATCACAAATAAATTCCACAGTTTCTTCGAGAGGTACATTTGTGAACAAAGAGTTTACATCGAAAGAACACATCCGACTATTAGAAATATTCAAGTGTTCCAAGGTTGGGAGAAGTTCAAAAGAATCAATGACAGTATGTGTCGACAGTTGTTTACAAACAGGATCCAAAATTCCTTTCAACCACTTTGCTAGCTTATGGTATGGTGAATTTATCATGGACAAAATTGGTCTCATAGATGTTCCAGGCTTATGCAGTTTCGGTAAGCCATACATTTCTGGTGTGCATGTACCAATGGGCTTGAGCATTTTATAATGGGCCTCGGTGATAAAATATTGGTTCAAGGAAGCACCAGATACGTATGCGCCGCACAAATCTCATTTGATTTGTATGAGGGCTTTATACTGACCTACTTCTAACGACTTAACATCTTAGTATATTGGATGGAATGTTTAGTTACTTAGGCTAGTGGTCACGTTGCAGCTTGATCAATAGAATTCCGTCAGCACTAAAGGATTAGATAATGACACTAGTCACACTACTGATCAGTCGATTTTGAATATCTTCGTCCTACTGGATGTGTAGCTCAGTCATATCTCCGACTGTGCAGCTGTGTGAAACGGATTTGAATCCTACAGGAATCATCATTTCTCTCAAGATTCTAGATATAACTTGATGACGAGTATCAACTAACATATGGCTTAGGTTCAGGGTTTCTAGTCAAATACCTCTAATTACTTTTAATTACTAAGTTACTTTGCCAATATTTTTATACTGAAAGAAAAAGTTGCTAGAATTACATAATATCATATTTAATCATATATAGATTAACACCAGATGAAGTACGTCAATTAGCTTGGGAGTCAGAATTCAATCGTCGTAAAGCTGCCGCATTAGAACAATCATTAGCTGAAGAAGCAAGATTAAAGAAGTTGGCCGAAGAAGAGGCAATGACCATAGCTGCAGAAAAAGCTTTAGCTGTACAGGAAAAAAATCGAACTCTTATTGAACAGCGTAAACGTGAAATATCACGTCTGAAAGCAGATAGTGAATTGGCTCAGTTAAAGTTGCCTGAATCTGCACGATGGGCGGCGGCTGCTACTAGTAATATAAATATCACAAACAAGGCTGCTCCAATAGATCTACGATCAATTCAAGCTGCTCAAGCCGCTGAAGAGGTAAGTATTAGCTAGTAGTTTTATGACCTCGTTAATTTATAGTTGTAAACCGATAGCTCATCTTTTTCGAAATAACAACATACTCACATGCACATACGTTTAAACGTAATGTGTTTTAACGATTTTTTCATAATCCATGATATTACTTCTAGTTTAATTTATGCATCCTTGCCCTTTAGACTTAAGACGTCCGACTTTCGACCACTGAGTTCTAGGTTCGAACCCTAGGCCCCCTACTTCGTTTTAAGTTAATAGGTAGTATCAGTAGTGCCTCATACCCAAGTACCTGATGAATGGATTAATTTTTTATATCATTTGGCATTAGAATTTGAAGTGGTTGAATATCTTGACTACCCTATTAGCTTCCCAGGTTACATTAAGTTGATTGTTCTTTTTCAAAATCACCATAAGAAGAACATGTCTAACCGTTCTGATTGATGCAACATATCTGAATACCTATTGACAAGAACGTATACCACTCAACGATTGGTTCTGTATATAAGATATCATTGAGAACCGAATATATATGGATTATAATACTTCAATCTTCTTATTTATCTAAAGGGCATCTCGTATATTTATTATAGCTATCAATTGAACGCTTTATATATATTCAACACGCCCGTGACTCACTTAACGGTAGATTTTAGAAGAAAATTGGTTATTATTTAATAATAATAATAATAACCAGGGGTCACAGAATAATTTCAACTGTGTGACCACTGAAAACGTGGAAGCGTTAAACAACTGTTTCGTCGTAGTATAGGACTGGTTCTACTAAAAAGCAGTGACCAGTGGAATCAGGGGTCAATAAAGTATCACTACATGATCTGCAGATCGATTATCTACCAGGTTTTTTTTCTGCTTAACATGAGCCAAGACCTAAGCAACAAATGCTCATACTTACAACTTCATGTCACCAATCATTTTGAATCTTTATTTGCTCGTGTAAACTTTAACTTCCAAACTCTACGTTTACACTTCTACATGGTGATATATAACCGAACTGTGTGTTTGCACGCAATAATAAGCCAACAAAACACTGTAGATTGGTGTCTAAAGTGATAGAGGCGTTCGCCTTTCAGTCACTTTGATGTTTGAACCCCTCTCCATCTATTTAATGTTTGGTAACCGAGTAGTATCACTAGACGTTACAGAAAGGGTGTATCTCATACTTAAGTACCTAATGAACGCGTTAATTTTTTAGGCTTATGAAACACGGTTAACATGATCAACTTTTAATATCCGTTGAAACATACTGAAAATACTCGTTTCTGATATATATTTTTTCTATTCCAATAGTAATGAGAATAAAAAATAACAGTCTTTTACTACTGATATCGTATAAAATAATCAGTCAGTTAGCTAAAACGTAGGACCCAGGCACATATATGAATCGGTCCAAGTTGCCATGCCTCAATCATTAGCACAACAAGATGAATACCGAATTCATAGAAGTAGTTAATTTGGTGGTGGTGGTGGTAACATATAAAAGAAAGGTTGTATATAAGGATATAGTACATGAAGGAAGACATATGAAGCAATCTTAATCTCATAGTTTAAGGGAAGACGAGGAGGGTATACACCTACTCCATTGTGATCAATTCTGAGCCATGTCACCCACAATCTACAACCATTGGCTACGATAGTCACGCGGACCGCAACCAAGTAGTCTGCATCTACTAACATGGCTCAGACTACAAGTTAGTGACTTCAATGACTGATGCCACATTTTGGTTTGGCCGCCCCTAACTCTTTTCTAACCATCCCCTACATTAGTCAGCATAGCGCGTCGTGGTAATCGGTGTTCAGACATACGTAACAAGTGGCCTAACCATCTCAGTCGATGAAAATTCACAACCTTATCAACTGATTTACCATCATTCCTTAATACCCTGCGTCTATAAACACCATTACTCAGCCAGTTATTTCTAAGACATCTGTGATCGAATACGAGTATTTTCTACTCTCAATGGTCACGTTTCACAGCTGTAAAGTAGAATAGAGCGAATAGCTGTACAGTATACTCGTCCCTTAATTGATAGATGGATATCTCGTCTTCGCCATAGGTGATGTCTCTTGGCAAAAGTCAAACAAGCTTTTTAAATCCATGCTGAGATTTCGTTGTAAAATAATACCTTTCATCAAGAATGTTCATTATATTGTTAAACATTTTTTTTTAAAAAATAGGACTGCTTTCATTTTAACTAGGTTACTTAATGTCGATTACTCAAGGACAATCAGTTTTAATGATAGTCTTACCATGTTTTTTGATATGATATGATGATTTGTTGTTGTTGTTGTTGTTGTTGTTGTTGTTGTAAGAAAGGTCAAGGTGATAGATTAGTTTAAACGTGATCTTTGTTCAATGTCTCTCTCTCGCTCGCTCGCTTTTTTTGTTTCTACCTAAATGATCGTGTTTAAACAAGGGATAAACAAGGTCAATCAATAATCATTGTAGTTTTTTATATCATTCCAGTTGAATATTCTTATTGTCCTTATTTGATTATATCTATTTCATGGAAGTATATATTGTTTATGATTATCAGCTGAATAATAAATAGGTTCTTTGTTTGTTTTTTCTCTTCAAAACTGGTGATTATCATAGTTCATTCAGATCTATACTGGATTGATTACTAGGTAGTGATCAATGTCATATATATATCCGGTCCTTTTTAGTGCAAATCTAATTCTATCGACCACTATATTGAAATAAGATGGTTGTGAATGCACGCAATGTCAAGTCAGCTAGATTGGTGGCTACATTGTAACTTGGTCGATAGGATTCGATCTGCACTAAGAAGTACCTGACATACTCGACACTGATCATCAACCAGTAATCAATCAATTGCAAATATATCTCAGTCTTACAGAGGGTCAATCGCGGTCGGGATAGCTCAGTGGTAACGTCTCTGACTGCGAATTTGGGTGACACGGGATCGAATCCATCAGGGAGTATCGCTTCCCACAAGATTACATGTATACCTTGCTGACGAGTGCCAAGTAGCACGATCGTGAGGATCTATGATAGTGTTTGTTACTGACAGGAGTACCAAAGAAGTACATTAACCCTATACAGGCTCTCTACTCGAACAAAACTGGCCGAGTGAGAGCTTACGCGAACTGTCATCAGAATTGATCACCTCAAGTGGTGTTCATCAGAGCTGTCCACTCTCCCCATCCTTATTTAACTTTGTCGTTGACGTGCTTTTAGAGATATCACTTTCCTCATCTAAATTTCTAGAAGTTGAAATTTTGCCGGGAGATTCCCTTATAGACTTAGAATATTCCGATGACATAGTTCTATTTGGTGAAGACGCTGACAAAATACAGAGTCTTCTGATCACTATAAGCAGCAATGCAAAATGTTACTTCAGGATTGGGTTGCATCGACACCTGAACTAATGATAGGGAGTGAAGTAATTGAGCGTATCGACTTATCTTATCACTTATCTTGGGAGTCTCATCAGCCCTTGTGGTTTGTTGTGTGACGAAATCTCAGCACGGATACAGAAGGCTCGTCTAGCTTTCGCCAAATTGCGTCATTTATGGAGTAGGCGAGATATCCGTCTAGCAAACAAAGAATGGCTTTACTGCGTAGCAGTTCGTTCCGTCCTACTTTATGGCAGTGAAACATGGCCGATAAGAGTAGATGATATGTGTAGGCTACCAGTATTCGATCATAGGTGTCTTCGAAGCATTGCTCGTATATCCTGGGACAACCGGATAAGTAATGCAGTTGTCAGGAAACTGGTACTACGTTAGGATGACAAATCGATTGATGAAGTAGTGAAACTTGATCAGTTGAGATGGCTGAGACATGTGTTACGTATGCCCAACCACCGACTGCCCCGACGTGCAATGCTTTATGTGTAGGAGTAGGTTGGAAGAAAGCTAGGGGCGGCCAGACCAAACATGGCATAAGTCCAAGTGAAATAAATTTAGAAGGAGAAAAAGGATAGGGACATGAAGAATTCAGAAGATTAGAATTTGGTAGAACACAAATAGTGGATGCACCTACGCCATTGCAAACGATTTTGCGCCATGTCATTCAAGGTCTCTAACCATCGATCGCCATCATCTCGCGAATCCCAACCAGGTAGTCTACACCTACCAACATGGCTCAGTCCATATGTCAGTGACTTCATGCATTTGTGCCACGTTTTGTTGTGACTGCCCCTAGCTTTCTTTCAACCTACTCCTACATCATAAAACCTCGCACTTTGGGAAAGTCGGTGGATGGGCATACGTAACACATGTCCCAGCCATCTCAACTGATCAAGTTTCACTACTTCATCAATCAATTTGCCATCCTTACCTAGTACCCGTGTCCTAACGACTACATTACTTACTTACAGATACATACTACTAACTATATCTGTCAGCGTAAGTAGTATACGCCGCAGTAGTTGTTTTCTATAGATCATTGACGATACTTCTACTCTAACTTTGATATATAACAATAATGGAATGTAATGCTAAACGTGATAAATATTGTATCGGAAGGATTGAATTCGTAGTGTGAAATGATACTAAGTTCAAAAATTTTAAAAGAAGATACAGAGTGATTACAATTACGCAATTATTGACTTTACTTTAGGTTAATAAATTTTATGTATAGATTCTATATATTTGTTGGGAGTGATCCAGAAAACTTCACACAATAGACAAGAAAGACTTAGGTAACATTAAGAAGGATTTTATCCAATCAGCGTTCAGTAGAAGTTTTGCTAGAAACATCACGAAAGTGAATAGTCACATGTAGATTTTTAAAATACTATATAAACCCTATAATTTTTGTACACGAGTGAACCTTTGGAGTAAAGTGCTTCTGGCATATTTTGCGCCTTTTCTCTCATGTTCAAGTCACTGTGTACTCCCAAATGCCCTGGTACGGCCGAGACTGGGGAGAGTCTGCTCCCTCTCGAAACGCTCTCACATGGCCACAGGTATATAGCTTCTGCCAGGTAAGTCCTACTCACTACCTTTTCGTGCCATTACTGTTGGTTACAAAAATAAGAGGGCAAAAACCGAATGTACGGTGTTTTAATCAGCTTGGTGGATATGGAGAATCCACCTAGGGGAGATGGAAAACCCTGATTCCAAACCAATGGTGCACATGGTCTCCAGTATCCTGAAGGAACAAATGGCATATGAACCAATCGTTGGTCACTGGCTACCATGGGACTGCATCTCCTTACGATGCTCCACTGCCTTATGGATCAGACCTTTAGATCAAAGGCTCCGAGTGTAGCCACCTAAGAAAACCACTTGCTTCGGTCTGGGTACCCGGACAGTATCACTGCCCTCACACAAATCGAATGAGATTTATCGTGGGGATTACGAGAATAGCTTACGAACTAAGTATAGCGTTCAATTAACAGATCACCTTAAACCTGTTTATATGTTTATATTCTTTCAATCCTATTTGTTTATTATCACTTTTCTTATTTCTGGTAGGTGAAATAAAAATGTTCTTTTGTTTTGTTGTTGTTTTTTTTACAAAAAAATCAATATGCTCAAACAACTGCTTAACTCCATGAAATTGATCATTTACACATTCCAAATTTGTTAATGGAATCCTATTTAAAAAAAACACCTTGATTTGATTCATAGCAACTAAAGTTATGTTTAGATTTAATGAAAGTGAATTAAAATGATTTCAAATACTAAAAAGCTGTAGTTACTAATAATAGTAATAATACTTTTAAGTTCATCACACCCTCGGAGTCTTTGACCTAAAGGTCTGATCCACAAGGCAGTAGAGCATTGTGAGGAGATGCAGTCCCATGGTAGCCGGTGACCATATGCCATTTGTTCCTTAGGATCCTAGAACCCATGTGCACCATTAGTTTGGAATCAGAATTTTCCAACTCCCCTAGGTGAACTTTGCGTGTCCACCAACCCGGTTAAAGCGCCGGACATTCGCTTTTCATCCTCTCAATGTCGTAAACAACAGTAATGCCGCGAGAAGGCAGTGAATAGGACTTCCCTGTCAGAGACTAATTACGTGTGGTCATGTGAAAGCATTTCGAGGGGGAGAGTTGACTCTCCCCACTCTCCACCGTACCAGGGCATTTGGAGGCAATAAAGACAAAACCAATACAATATACACTTTATCTTTTATTAAAGTATCATATTATAAAACATACTATGTGAATATTCTTCTTTCATCATCTTGTGTACTGAATGAGTTCTTCATGAACATTAAAGGATAATTTTATTCTAAATGTTCTTGCACTCAATCGGAATTATGTTTAAGTTCAAATACGATAGGGACCTAAATACCTCAGTTGTGGAAGATGTTACATGTATTAGTGTATCAATGATGTTTCTGGATTTATTTCAAATATTGTCTTCTAATCTTTCCTGGTCTTTAATTGTTCTATCAAAATAGTTTTAGTGTGTTCAGTAGAGAGACCATATGTTTTTAATATCACTGTACATTTAGTTTTCTGATTTATCTATTGCTGTATATTACTTAGTCAGAAAAGTGTTATGATTGCAGAGTTGAACAGGGTACTTTGGGATGAACGGTAATACAATGTGATATTGACGTCACGAGTTAGTACACAGAGAAAAGATCTTGATACATTGGATTATAGACCGTCTTCTAACATCCTAATGTAGATATATACAACTGACCTGTATCATACATTGACCTAAAGTTTGCATTTATTACCTTTGATAACTTTTAAACTATATAAATGGTATGTGTATCTTTTCAGGAACTTGCTCAAAATTACCAACTTAGTATAATTATACCTTTCGTGATGTCCATCCCCTATCTCTTCTTTTTTTTAAGGCAAAAAGAAAATATCATGATGCATTAATGTCTGAACAAGTTGCTGTATTGATAACAGCTGAAGCAGCTACTCCATCAACAAAAACTCCACTTTCATGGTCTCAAATTGCTAAATCTGATACAATATCTTTAACGCCTATAAGTCCATGTATTACAAAGGATGATAAAACAACTGAACGTTCTAAGTGTGTAAGTCGTGAATTAACCTTTTCTTGTTTTCTAATTGATTATATATATATATCTGTCAAAACGAGAATTCTTTGTATTTACATTTCATAAACTGAGCCTAAATTATTTGTTTATTTGAACACAAATATTGGTACTACGGTGCACCAAGTACATATGCACCACACAAGTCACTTGATTTGTGTGGGGGCTGTGATACTGCTCGGGTACCAAGACAGTAACAGATGGTTTTCTTAGGGGGCCACACCCGAAGCCTTCGATGTGAAGGTCTGATTCACAAGGCAATAGAACAACGTCAAGAGATGCAGTCCCATAGTAGCCTGTGACCAACAGTAAGTTCATACGCCATGTGTTCCCTCAGGATCCTAGAGCCCATGTGAACCATTAGTTTGTAATCAGAGTTTTCCAACTCTCTTAGATGGATCCTTCCTATCCACCAACCCGGTTAAAGTGTTAGACATTTGCTTTTCGTCCTCTCGATTTCGTAAACAACAGTAATGTCACGAGAAGGCAATGAGTAAGACTTGTGTGGTAGTGGCTGTATATGCATGGCCATGTGAGAGCGAGAAATGTAGCCAAAATAAATGAAAAAAAAAGACATTATTCAACACAAATATACATGAAGTAAACAAAAATATAATCAACATTTAAAGATTAGCAAAGGTTGGTTGTCTTTACGTTGTGTATAACGGGACGATTATTTGGTAAGTTGGAATATTTGGGACAATTTTCCGGATTTATATATTTATTGTTTAATTATTAGATAACTGTATTCTTACATTTCTATATTCCTTTTATGGTAAGCTTTTATTGAACCTATTAACTGTTGCGGGGGGTGTTGTTTACGAAATTGAGAGGAGGAAAAGCGAATTTCCGGTGCTTTAACCGGGTTGGTGGACACGGAAAGTTTACCCACGAGAGTTGGAAAACCCTATCTCTTAGTTATTGCTAATTAATTTTGTTCTGTCTTCCACTTATGGTATGATTATGTTAAAGATATGATTTATTATTCGGTTTTATGTGTAGTGATCGATCATTTCAAGTATATTATTGTTTGCGTTTTGAATCATGAGTTAGTTGAATGGAATAGAGAGCTAATCTGTTACCTATCTGCGTCTTCTGACAGTTAGTCACTCGATTAGAAGGAGATCAAATACCAATAAACTTTAAAGTCTTGAGTTGTTGTTCACTGGTCGATATGACAGTTGATACTAAAAAGATCACCAGTCCTACTGACTATATAAGTGAATTATCGGTAAACGGAATCCTTATTGGGCAATATATTACTTGTCATAAGTTACAACATACCTCATCGTTAATGTATTCCTACTACTACTTATTTATTTATTTAAACACATAAGCATTGGTATAAGGGGACACCGAATAAATATGCACCACACAAGTCACTTGATTTGTGTGTGGGCTGTGATACTGTCCGGGTGCTCAGACTGAAGCAAGTGGTTTCCTTAGGAAGTCACTCTCTGAGTCTTCGACTCAAGGGTCTGATTCGCAAGGTCATAGAGCAACGTCAGAAGATGCAGTCCCTTGGTAACCCATTACCAACGATTAGTTCATACTCCATTTCTTCCTTAGGATCCTAGAACCCATGTGCACCATTGCTTTGTAATCAGGGTTTTCTAACATTCGTTTGGTGAACTTTCCTTGTCCATCAACCTGGTTAAAGCGCCGGACATTCGCTTTTCGTCCTCTCGATTTCGTAAACAACACCCTGATGCGAAAAGGCAATGAGTAGGACTTCCCTGGTAGAGGCTAGATACACGTGAGCCTTTAACATCTCACAAAGTTCAGACGTTTTCCTCTATAGTCCAATTAATTGTGAAACTTTTACCGGGTTGGTGGACACTGCGACTCCACCTAGAGGAGTTGGAAAACCCTCATGCCAAACAAATGGTGTACATGGGCTCCAGTATCCTGAGGGATCAAATTGCGTATGAATCAAACGTTGGTGACCGGCTACCATGCGACTGCATCTCCTCACGATGCTGCACTGCCTTATGGATCAGACATTTCGGTCAAAGGCTCTGGATGTTGACCCCTAAGAAAACCACTTGCTTCGGTCTGGGCACCTGGGCAGTATCACAGCCCTCATACAAATCAAATGAGATTTGTTTGGCGCATATGTATCTGGTGCCTCTTTGTAGCAATATTTATGTGTACAAGTAAATAAATAAATAAACTATGTAATTATTCATAATTTTTTTTTCTTTTGTAGGCTGTTGTTAAATCTTCTAATAGTAATAATAATGGCCCAATACAGAAATCCACTGGTCATTCATCAAATAGTAATAATACTTCATCTTTAACACAATTGGATTATTTAAAAATCAATTCAACATCAAAAACATCTTTGAATAACAACATAACTTCTATTGCTTCTTCTACATCTATCTCATGTTCCCCAAAAGTGAATAATACAATTGTTAACTCAGTGACAACAACAACAAATACACCTTCAATATGGGATCTACCTGTAACAAATAATCTAGAAAATACTAATAGTGCAACTGGGAAAAAAAGCAGTTCAAAAAAGAAAAAAGTAAGTCATGTAGTATTCTGGTTAGCGTTTTTTTTTAGCGAGTTGGTTTTCTACGGGATGGAGTCGCTAACCCCATGCCCAACTCTTCTCCTTTACCCGGTCTTGGGACTGGCAATAGCCCCCGGAGGAGCTACATGCGGAGTTAAGTCATGTAGTATATATATATATTCATGTTGTTGAGTTTGTCTAAGCTAGATTGTTTAGTTGTTTAGCTTTCATTGTCTTTATAGACAACATAATCAGCACTTACTTTATATGGACTTTTCCATGGATTGACAGGAATCCATAAAGCTGATAGATCGTTATGATCCATAGTGGATTTTACTAACACTCTGAATTTGTGCTTTATGTACGTTATGTTGAAGTGTCTTCAGTATGTCATTAAAGACTCATTATTTAAAACTGAAGATTTGAGAATCATCTGTCAAAAAGAACGAAACAATGGTAAGCTATGAATGTTGCATCTTTATACACTAATATTACCATTGATTGTTTGTGAGATTTTATGAACGGTTTACTTGAGAATTCATATTCTAAGAAACTTTATATAAGCAAACAAATGGAGTAGCCATAGGATCTCCGGTGTCTCCGCTTTTTTTGCCATATTGTAGCTATATTCAGTAACCAAGAGCCAGGGAAGTCCTACTCACTGCCTTCTCGTGGCGGAGGTGTTGTTTACAGAATTGAGAGGACGAAAAGCGAATGCCCGGCGCTTTAACCGGGTCTGTGGACACGGCGAGTCCACCTAGGGGAGTTGGAAACCCCTCATTCCAAACTAATGGTGCACATGGGCTCCAGTATCCTGAACGAACAAATGGCGTATGAATCAATCGTTGGTGACCGCCTTCCATGGGACTGCATCTCTCTATGATGCCCCACTGCCTTGTGAATCAAACCCTTAAGTCGTAGGCTCAGGGTGTGGCTTCCTAAGGAAACCACTTGCTTCGGTTTGGACACCTGGACAGTACCAGAGCCCACATACAAATGAAATGAGATTTGTGTTTCGCATATGTATCTGGTACCCCTTAGTACCAATATTTATATGTTTAAATAAAATAACTAAATCAAGTTGCTATGTGAGGTGTTTCCAACCATAAAGAAAGACAAGTATCTGAGGCATTTTTATACAGTGCTAAATCCTTCTTCCTTTAACCGAAAAGATTTGACTATTCATTCAATTCAAGCAACTCCATTCATCTCTGTTCCTTTCTCACATCATTAACACATATATATATATACACATAGACATACTCGAATTTCGATTCTATTCGTATTGCATATTACAAATTTCACATTTTTCGTAACTAATTGCGTACACAGATAAACATAATAATGTGTTTCACAAAGGTTTTCTGTTTTTCTTGTTTTGTATCATTGCATACTTTGTATTGTTTATTGTAATAAATACCTAATATCAATTTTTTAATGTACATCTAGCATTACCTTAAATCAATTCATCAGTCTATTCTTAGTTAGTCAAAAACAGTGCCTATGCTAATTGGAATTAATATTTTTGAATGAATGAAGTTTTTTGTTAAAGATAAAATTTTATAAAGTTGAGATCATGAGTCAATTGAAGTTAGACCACCATGAAAAGCCTGGAAGCACTGGACGGCCGTTTCGTCCTGGTGCGGGACTCCTCAGCAGTGCGCATCCACGATCCCACCTCACGAGATTCGAACCTAGGACCTATCAGTCTCGCGCCCGAGTGCGTAACCGCTAGACCACTGAAATGACCGGCATCCAATGGTGTTAATGTCTAACTTTTTCCAATCCACGAAATAGAGCAACCACTCACCAATGTCTTCAGTGAGTTGATATTTCTCAACAGCCGGCTCAGTGGTCTAGTAGTTAAGCGCTCACGTGCGAGACTGATAAGTCCTGGGTTGAAATTTCGCGAGGCGGGATCGTGTATGCGCACTGTCGGAGAGTCCCACAATAAGGAGAAACGGTCGTCCAGTGATTCCAGGTTTTCCGTGGTGATGTAGCTTCAATTGACCCATGATCTCAATTATATAAAATTACTCAAATCTGCACAAAATCCCCTTTTGATAAAGATAAAATTTGCTAACGCTAGCGATCTTTTTAGTTTTTGACTTATCATTCACACTAATCCTTTAAACAATTTCATTTTTTTATTTAGAAAAATCGTGAAGTTTCTTTACTTCCTGCTAAAGAAGAACTTGCTCATTGGTGTGAATCTCAGCTGTCTTCCATTCCTTTATCTGGAGTTGATTTACCTACTTTAGTGGATTTGTTATGTGAACTACAGGCTACAGACGAAGTAAGTGTTTGTCTCTTCTTTCTCTCTATTTAATTATGTATCAAGCTTCCCACTGAGATATCATAAATATTAGTTATATGTTTAGTTTAGTTAGGGACTGAATTTAAGATCCTTCGAATCACAAATCCAAGCTACATTCCACTTATTTTGATTTAAAGATTCGGTAGTGTCACTTAACTAACCTGTATCAAGGTTTGAGTCTAAATACACATATTCATGCTTCATTAATTAGTTGTATGAAACTATGGAATTTCGTCTTGCTTCGATTTGGGCACCCGGGCAGTACCACAGCTCTCACACAAATCAAATGAGATTTGTGTGGCGCATATGTATCGGTTCATTACACTTTAAAATGTAAAATTATTCTTTTCCTCTATCAGTATGGAGATGTCTAATCAAAAGTAACTACATAACAGTTGTATAATTTTTTAAGGAATAACTTTGGAAAGTGTATCATCTCATCGTTGAAACGATTGACATTTCACAAAAAGACTTTCAAAAACTCAATTCAATTGAATATTCATATCGGTTACTGATACACATACATTTGCCCTGGTACGGCCGAGAGTGGGGAGAGTCAACTCTCCCTCTCCAAATGGTCTCACATGGTCACGTACATACAGTCACTGACAGGGAAGTCTTACTCACTGCCTTCTCTTGGTATTACTGTTGTTTACGAAATTGAGAGGACGAAAAGCAAATGTCCGGTGCTTTAACCGGGTTGGTGGATATGGGGGATCTATCTAGGGGAGTTGGAAAACCCTGATTACAAACCAATCATCCACATGGGCTCCAGAATCCTAAGGAACGAATGGCATATGAACCAATTGTTGGTGAACGGCTACCATGGGACTGCATCTCCTTACTTTTCTTCACTGCCTTATGGATTAGACCTTTAGATAAGAAGCTCTGGGTGTGGCACCCTAAGAAAACCATCTGTTACTGTCTTGGCAACCGCGCAGTATCACAGCCCACACATAAATCAAGTGACGTTACTCATTAATGAGTAATAATTAATTACTCATTTGGATGACAATAATAAGTTGAGAATGCTTCAATTCTCAATAACTTTACCATATTCACTTGGTACTGTTTGTTTGAATCTTCCCATTGATGTTCAGGACTGAAATTGATCAGTCTCTTATTGGCATATTTTCATACTATGCATATTGCCTCGATATAACCTTAATTCACAAGCATTATAAGCAAAGAATGAACATCAACTCTGAAATGCAGGTACATCCAACTGACGAGTCCCAAATAGGACGAAATGTACGTCAAACTGGATTCCACTGCTAGCCACTATCCATCTTTGCTTATAATAACTCTTTATATTGTTTTTTTTTTAGTCAATCTCTGTAGAAAATATAATTCTCTTCAGATTATTTAATTGACCTAAAGTAATGATAATAGGTCACCAGTAACATGACAAATATTGTCATGAAAACTAACAAATCAAAATAAGAACTATAGACATAAGATATGAAAATTTTTCTAATGAATGGATGTTTATTGAACATACGAGAAGTAAAAATGAGTGTTAGTAAAGTCAAGAGAATAGAATTACTGTATTATATGGTATGTCACACTGAGTGGCGCTCAAAAATGATTGACAATAACATATGTTACTGAATATTAGTAAGTAATATAATTTATACACACTAATGAAACGAAATGAGGTTGAAATCAATGTGAAAGGGACCATCAAGATTGATAGACTCGAATGGAGTTTTCTTCACTGAGCTGGATGGTTTGGTCATGGAGATTTCATCATTATTCTGAATAACATCATCAGCACAAACTTCAGGTGGAAGTGAAGTGTTCGAATACCTTCATATATGATTCACAGTTTGACCAATCAAGATCGAGGTCTATAGTACAAGCTATAAATCATATGTGGAGAAATTCGAACACTTCACTTTCACCTGAGATTTGTGCTGATGATTTTGTTCAGAAGAATTAGGAAAGGCTCCACTACCGAACCATCCAGCTCAGAGAACAAAACTTCACCAAAATCATCCACTTGAACTACAAATCTCCACCATCTCAATTAATAAACTCCAATCAACTTCCTCCTCAACACATAGGCACTAGATTGGTTAAAACTATCTAGCTGCAGGTTCGGACTTCATCGCACATTTTAATCTCAGCAACTAAGTAACGTGTCATGACAAGTGGAATTATTTAAATCAGTTCAATGTTAACAACCATCATGAGCTGTGTCGCCGTTAATAACGAATTAGTTGTGTACTACCCCTGATTTCCAGTGAGTCCCCAGCTGTGGTGTAATTTCGTAAGGAAGATTACTTTCAAGTTATATCAAAGATAAAAATCTACATAACTTCATCTGAAAACTAACCTCTAGTTTATTAAAAAATAAATACTGACCTTTGTTATATCCTTATTAGTTGGGATGTTTTTCATTAGAAGGAAATTTTCTCTTCCGTAGTATATGACTAATATTCGTCACAGATTGATCTTAGTCAAGGTGTCATTGAAGACCAGAATTTGCTTCTGTAGTGGACATCTACGACCTTCAGGTCTCGTGACGAGCGCTTAAGTGTTAGGGTCACTGGGTTTGTGTACATCGGCACATATTTTAAACTTCAATCGACCTGCAATCTAACGTAAGTATCATCTAATACTATTGGTCGCGAGTGTTTCACTTCAGACACGTCTGAACCACACTAACTCCATAATTTCCCAATAGAATTTCAGGAACTCATCTCGAAGTAAACTATTAGTTAGCTAACTATCATACAATGGTCTTGAGTGCTGTTAGGGGTATGAGGGCAATTATCACTTCCCGGTTGCCCACACCGTGGAAGGGTTCTTCTAGAGGTACCTGAAAAGGAAATTGGGTTAGAAGTGGTCTTAGTGACCTGAGAGTGTGACCGCAGTGCCCAAGGGACAACTGCTTGAGGTCGGTCACACACGACTTTTTTGTGAGTAATTTTTGTGTTAGCTCCGTATTTGTTGGGACCTTACCGCCGGAGACGGATATCCGTGGGATAAGGCGAGGTGTGCATTTTTAGGGTCGACCTTTTCTAACCCCACCCCTCCTTATGGGAAGGCAGCATCGCTGTCATGCTGGTTGTCTGAAGGAAACACCATACTGCTGTCACACCTCTGTACAGTCAGCAGTACGACTTTGCCTTCAGACCTTGAGTTTGCTGCTTTTAGTCTTACCGCTCTTCAACCGACCTGTCTGGCATAGTAGGACCTTGAGGAACGATTGTTTCAGCCAGTATAGCTCGATTGGTTCATCACAATAGGCAAGCCCGACCACCACGTCAAGGTAGCAGCAACGGTCGGGAGCTAACTATCATAGTCTTGATGAAAGAATTGCTTAGAGATTAATTTAATTTCCAAGTGAATATTGATCATAAATTTCATATTATTTTCTTACAGATCTTAGAATTCATTGAAACTTCATTGGGACGATCAAAGCGTATAACACAATTCTCTAAAGATTTTTTACAAAAACGTTCATTATTTCGTCAATAAAACATATTGATGATAATAATAAATTGATTTCATCTGTTTTACACTACTAAGTAAGTGTATATGTTTATTAATTAGTAATTTTATATAGCTGAAATCATGAGGTAATTGAAGCTAGATCACCATGGACAACCTGGAAGTACTGGACGGCCGTGTGAATCCATGATTCCACTTACAAGATCCGAACCTAGGACCTATCAGTCTCGTCCACTGAGCCGGTATCCGGTGGTGTTAATATGTAACTTCAAGCAATCCACCTTTGTCTTCTGTGAGTTACTATTTCACAACAGACCTGATTCAACTTTACTGGTTACCGCTTCTCACTAGAACTCCAGGAAATACCTCATGGAGCCAGTCACTAGTGAACATATGATGATTATAATCGGAGACGGGTTTTGTGGAGATTTTAGTAATTTAATGGTTAAAATCATGAGTCAATTGAAGCTAGACCACTATGGAAAGCCTGAAAGCATTGGGCGGCTGTTTCGTTCTATTGTGGGACTCCTCAGAAGTGTACATCCACGATCCCGTCTTGCGAGATAATAATATTTAACTTATTAGACTCTATATATGTATCTATTTATATATTATGTACTCACAAAATGACTTTTGTATCTATTTAGAAAAAGGTGAGAACTTAAATCCATGATGAATCATTTATATTATGATGAACTCTAAACTCTACCTGGTTTTTTTTAAAAAGTTAACATATTCCAACTATACAAAAAAAATCATTTTATACAAGAATTAATTTTCTAAAATCAATTATGTTTCACATATTGTTGCTTACCTGTTTCTCCCCCCTCCTCTAAATTAAAAAAATAGCCAGGAGGGGGATGTTGTTGTGGTGATTCAACTATGCCAACAACAAAAAAAACAAACCACTCACCCTCGCGATAATACATTCTGTATTTTGTTGTTGTTGTTGCTGTGTGTTTTTTATTACAAAAATATGAAACATAATTTGATTGTGTTTATTATACCATTACTAGTGTTAATTTAAACAAAACTATGTCTCGTTTAATGATTGTAATTTTACATTTTTCAATTGGTACAATAATAATCAATATCATATTTGTCTGGTCATTAATGTTGATCTAATTCTATCAACTAATCTGTAGTATAGTCTAAATGACTTGGCATAGTGTGCATTGTTTTCATATGGTTGACCGTTAGTCTTTAGGATGATCTATCTGAATTCGGTTTCGTTTTAATTGAAATTCATCAACAAGGTGTACCTGAAATCATAGAGACAGATGTTCCTAGTGTGATTTTCTCCTATATCATCTAGCTTCACAGTCTTGGAATTATTTAGTTACGAAATTACGTATGACCACCTTTCGTAGAGGAACATGGGCCGCCCACCAGCATTCTCCATTCATTCATATTCAAGCCATCGTTTCCAGTTGCTATTCAATCTTTTTATGTCTGCATCGAATGCACGACGCAGTGTGTTCCCTGGTCTTTCTCTTTTCCTTTCGCCTTCGGGATTGCAAGGTAGCGCTTGCCTCGTGCTGGAGTTTGATGGGTTTCCTCAATGTATTTCCTAACCACTTCCAACGTCTTTTCTTAATTTCCTCTTCAAATGGAACCTGGTTTATTCTCTCTCACATTAGGTTGTTGCTGATGGTATTTGATCAACGGACATTGAGTATCTTGTGTAGACAATTGTTTACAAATACTTTTACTCTCGATGATGGTTGTAGTAGTCCTCCAAGTTTCAGCTCTATACAGTAGAAATGTCTTGACGTTAATATTGAAGATTCTGACTTTGATGTTTGCTGATAGTTGTTTCGATTCGCATATGTTCTTCAACTGTAGAGATGCTGTCCTCTCTTTGTCAATCCTTACCTTTACATCTGCATCAGATCGTCCTTGTTCATGGATGATGCTGCTCACATATGTGAAAATTTCCACCTGTTTCACAGTTTCTCCATCAAGTGGAATTGGTTTGGTGTTCTCTGTGTTGTATTTGAGTATATTGGTCTTTTACTTGTGTATGTTGAGGCCTACTGCTATAGAGACTGCTGTTACACTGACTGTTTCCACCTGGATTTGTTGGTGTGTATGGAATAGAAGAGCTAGGTGATCAGGGAAGTCCAAATCGTCTAGTCGCAGACAATCTTTGTGTTGTATTCCGTGTTTTCCATGAGATGTGGAGGTCTTCATAATCCATTCGACCACCACCAGAAGAAAGAGCAAAGGTGATAGTAAGCAAACTCATCTGACACCGGTCTTGACTTGGAATGGATCTGTGAGCTGTCCTCCATACAGGAGTTTTCAGAGTGGTTTGTGATAAGAATTACGTATGTGTTGACAATCTTCTGAGATGCTCCTTAGTGTTGAAGATGGTTCCATGAGATTCTGCTGTCGACAGGGTTAGGTGTTTTCTCATAGTCAATGAAGTTGACGAATAGTGCCGAGTTCCATTCAACTGACTGTTCAACAGTGATCTGTATAGTCGTAATTTGGTTTGTACATGCTCGATCCCTACGAGATCCAGTCTATTGATCTGGAAGTTGGGGTTCTACTGAATCTTTCATCCTGTTGAAGAACACTCTGTTTGAAACTTTTCCTGATACTGATAGTAGTAGTTTGGTGCCTGTGTAGTTCTCAGACTTACTGAGGTCTACTTTGTTTTGTATATTGATGATTTGTTCTTTTCAATCTGTCTGTGGCACTTGTTCTTCCATCCAAATCTCCCTCCATCGAACATGGAGCATCTGTGAAGTTACTTCAATGTCCGACTTGGGTGTTTCAGTTGATATGTGAGATCCTGCTCCTTTTCCACTCTCGATTTGTGTGATGACCATAGTGATTTTTTTGATCGTTGGTGGAGTGAGATCTATAGGAAAGTGTGTATTTGGTGGTTTGATGTCTGGTGGATTCAGTGGAGCTGGCCTACTCAAGAGCTCTTCAAAATGTTCTATCCACTTGTTCCTATGTTCTTGAATCCTGGTGATGATCTAACTTTCTTTATCTTTGACTGTTCACTCTGTTTTACAATATTTCCTTGCTAGTATCTTCGTTGTATCATATAGTTGTCGCATATTTATTTCTTTTGCAACTGTTTCTGCTGTCGTTGCTGGATCTCCCACGTATTTCCGTTTGTCAGTCCTAATGCTCTTTTTCTTTTGTTCGTTTGGTTCTATGTATTTTGTCTATGTCTTGGCTTTCTCTGTTCTTGTTTGACTATTGTTAATTCCTGTTTCTTTAATCTTTCTTGAATCTCATTTAGAATTTCGATAGAGACCTATTCCTTTTAATGAAGTTTGTCACTGCTCATCACTTCCTGACACCTTGGAGTAGGTGTTTCTTTGATCTCCTTCCGGTTGTTTCTCTTAGTATTTCCCTCTTCTTTTTCAATAAATCTTGTAAGACTTGGAACCTGTTGTTGAGAGCTATCCTGAATTCTAAAGCAATTAGTCCCTTTGATAAATTTCGTTGATGTAATAAGAAGACGAAGATTGTCAGAACTGTGATATATTAGCGCAATACATTTCGAACAATCTGATCACACATAATATACTTGTTAAGAACAAATAGAATCATATGACCCAATAAGAGTAGAGGATAAGCATCCATCATCCTCTATTGCCAAACATATAATTGATCTTAACTCGGCTTTTGTGGTGTTATACAAAGGTGCAAAAGGGCGTATACTAAAGTTTATTGAAGCCTTAGCCATACAGGAAAATGCAACCCCCCTTTCTGTATTCAAAAACAATTTGTTCTCTCCTTACACCTCCCTTGGTAATATAAGCTTATTATCCAGAGTGATTAGGTGTCAAATTGTCTATTCTTACCCCCCCCCATTTCCGGTCTAGTTGACTTTTTATTTTTATATATAAATGTTCTTAACAAGTGTATTAGGTGTGATCAGATTGTTCGAAATGTATTGCGCTAATATCTCATCACATAGTTCTGATAATCTTCACCTTCTTATTACATTATCCTGAATTCGTCAACTTTGTCAGTATATCGAAGGAAGGTTGTATTAATCCTTTATAATGCTGTTTGTCCATTTTTCCAATGTTTCTTTAGCATCGGTTTGATCTTGACAACAACCAGGCGATGATATGAGTATGTGTCAGCTGCTCTCTTTGTTCTCATTTTTTCTATGGACCTTCTGAATTTCTTATTGATGCAATTGTGATCGATTTAGTTCTTTGTTGTGTGGTGTGGTTAAGCCCATGTAACTTTTTATATGAATTAGTGTGGGAATATAGTGATACCTGTTTATTTATTTAAACACATAAATATTGGTACAAGGAAGCGCCAGATACATATGCGCCACACATTTGATTTGTGTGAGGGCTGTGATACTGCCCAGGTGCCCAAACTGAAGCAGGTGGTTTTCTTAAGGGGACAAACCCTGAGCCTTTGACTTAAAGATCTGATCCACAAGGCAGTGAAGCATCGTGAGGAGATGCAATCCCATGGTAGCCGGTGGTCAACGATTGATTCATACGCCATTTGTTCCCTCAGGATACTGAAGCCAGCCCATGTGCAACATAAGTTTGGAATCAGGGTTTTCCAACTCCCCAAAGTTGACTCGCCGTATCCACTAACTCGGTTAAAGCACCGTACATTCTCTTTTCATCCTCTCAATTTCGTAAACAACACCCTGGTGCGAGAAGGCAGTGAGTAGGCCTTGTATGGCAGAGGCTATATACCCGTGACTATGTTAGAGCATTCGGAGAGAGAGAGCTGACTTCTCACTCTCAGCCGTACCAGGGCATCTGGGGGTGTGAAACCTGTAAACAATGGCTGTTCATTTTTGATTACTGTTTCATTTATCTCATTTTAATCAGTTAGTAAGCTGTCAACATGCTTTATTGTTGGTGTTTTTTTCTTTTGCAGATTCACTCAATCTCACCTACGGAGAGAGATAATTAACAATAATCTACACTGTTAATACTGATGTTGTTGTCTATTTAAGTTTCAAATTCTGATTATTCTCTTCATCAATAAGTCATTCCCTTTTTACTTCTAATGACATTCTTGTTTTTTTTTTGTCTTATTTCTTTTTTCCTTTATAAAATTTGGAAATAATCATTTCTTATCATTATTCTCACGTCGTCGTCGCCGTCGTCACTCCCCCCCCCACACACACACACAAATGCTCGCATGCCATCGTGCACGCATGAGCTCATCATTCATTATTCCTAATAATTTTATTTTTATTTATCTATTTCATAAAAGTTCCATACAGAAATTGATTCAACTTCTTCACTTTCTTTAGAAAAACAACACTCGCATTTTTCTGTTTATTTGTTTGTTTGTTTGTTTGTACTTTTTATTGGAAAAATGCATTTTCTTTTCTACTCTATCTATCGAGTTCCACAATTAACAGTAATGTAAAATGTTACATAAACTCTCTTAATGTGTATGTGTCCCCCCTTCGGTTCCCAACCCCCTTTTCTCTACCCCTCCCCCCCCTCTCTCTCTCTCTCTAACTCTGTTTCTGTGTCTATCTATTTCACTTGTTGTTCTTTTTTCTTCTTTAGAATTCACAATTATTCAATTTATATTAAAAAAAAATATGTGTACATAATGTTTGTTTTTTTTTAAAGAAAAATAATAGTAATAACAATAATCCTTTTGAAATTCATTTAATATTGTTTGTTTGAATTTTCCCATCGATCTGTTAGGACTGCAACTGGTCAGTCTCTAATTGGTATATGTGCATACTGTGCGTATTGCCTCGATATAGCCTTAATTCACAAGTATTATAAGCAAAGATGAATAGTGGCTAGCAATGGAATCCAGTTTGACGCGTAACTCGTCATCTGGATGTACCTGCATCTCAGAGTTGATGTTCGCTTTGGGACTCTAACCCCAGTACCTTTTGTATTTTTGTGTTCGTCTGTGTGTGAAATATGTGCACATAATTTACTATTGAATGAAGATGATCAGAAGGGGGATTTGGGGGAGATTTTAGTAATTTTTTTATATAGTTGAGAACATGAGTCGATTGAAGCTAAACTACCATGGAAAGCCTGGAAGCAATGGACGGCCGTTTCGTCCTTTTATGAGACTCTTCAGCAGCGCGCATCCACGATCACACCTCACGTGATTCGAACCTAGGACCTATCAGTATTGTATGCGAGCGCTTAACCTCCAGACCACTAAGATGACCGACATCCAACGGTGTTAATGTCTAGCTTTATCCAATCCACGAAATTGAGCAACTACCATTCACCAATGTCTTCAGTGAGTTGATATCTCCCAACACACTTGGTTGAACTCCACTGGTTACTGCTTCTTACTAGAACTCCAGATCTATCGGTTAAGTGCTCGCGCTCGAGACTGGTACGTCCTGGGTTCGAATTTCGCGAGTGTGGGATCATGGATGCGCACTGCTGAGTCCCACAATAGAACGGAACAGTCGTCCAGTACTTTCAGATTTTCCATAGCGGTCTAGCTTCAATTGACTCATGATCTCAACCATATAATATTGAATGAAGAGTTTCTGTTTTGTTAAACTGCCTTATATACTGTTATCATTAGTATTATTATTATTATTCACCAGTTTGATTGTTAAGCAATACCATGTGCAAATCAATTTTCATGTCCATTTTCCTTCTTTCTACTCTATTAAAAGTATTAAGTAGTATAACTGGTGCTAATTGAGAGTAAATGATAAAACTTAAAATAATTATATTTATTCACATAGAATATTATTTAATGAGATCAGTATATTAATGTGTAATAGACAGTCTCTTTAGTTATATCAAGTTATTTTAGGTTAAACTTGAAAGCGGGGCAACGTAAGGAGATGCAACCCCATGGTAGTCGGTGACCAACAATAGGTTCATACGCCATTTGTTCCCTCATCATCGTGGAGCCCATATGCACCATTAGTTTGAAATGAGGGTTTTTCAGCTTCCCTAGGTAGATCCTCCATATACACTAGCGTCGGACGTTCGCTTTTTATCCTCTCGATTTCGTAAACAGCAGCAATGCCATGAGAAGGCAGCAAATAGAACTTCCCTGTCAGTGACTGTATGCACGTGGTCATGTGAGAGTATTCGAAGAGGGAGAGTTGACTGACTCTCCCCACTCTCGGCCCTACCAGGGCATTTTTCTAGATTAAACACATTACTAACTTCTGATGTCACAAGTTACCATGCATACATTACATCTTACATAATTTGAATATGTTTACTCCATATACTTAACATAATCTGTCCACATGTTCTGATAACGATAATAAAATGGTTCGAATAAGATTATTCAACAAGCTGATTATCATTGTCATAATAAATAATGTTGCCTAAATTGATAGGACGTGATGGTTTCTGTTTTTGCTTCCATTCGATTGTGTGTATGTGTGTGACTTTGGATAGTACGTTTCATGTGACATCTCGGCCAAAAAAGGTTATTACGAGAAATCTTGTGTGTAATTCTTTGTTTATCAGTATAGGGTTGAAGAGATTACTGAATTTAACACTATCTAGATTAGACAACCTGTGTGAACACTGGACGTCCGCTTTGTCTCAATATGGGACTCTATAGAAGTACGCATCCATGATCCTGCAGCTGGAAATCGAATCCAAGACCTTCAGTAGCGGGTTTACTTAAATCGGTAACTGATCTGACACAGACTTAAGACGGTGAAAATTTTTTTCATCCAATCGGCGTTGGATGAAAACAGCTGATTGAGTGATTAGCTATGTTGTTACTATATTTATTACTTTTCTAAAAGACCGTGGTCACATAGAATATTATCAATATATCCAGTGTTTTGTATACAACCTTGGGTGAAGCTCTTACTCACATTTCGTGCCTTTCCTATATTGTTCGAGTTGAATTGTGGAAAGTAGTTCAAGTTCATAGTAAGCGGCTGGGATTTATTTAAACACAAATATTGGTACTAAATATTCATGCGCCACACAAGTCACTTGATTTGTGTATAAGCTGGAATACTGACCGGGTTCCCGAACCGAAGCATGTGGTTTTCTTAGGGGGCCACACCTGGAGCCTTTGACCTAAAGGTCTGATTCATAAGGAAGTGGAGTATCATGAGATGCAGTCCCAATGTGCCGGGTGACCGATTGATTCATACGCCGTTTGTTCCCTCAGGATACTGGAGCCAGCCCATATGTACCATTGGTTTGGAATCAGGGTTTTCCAACTCTCCTAGGTTGACTTTCCGTGTCCACCAACCCGGCTAAAGCGCTGGACATTCTCTTTTCATCCTCTCAATTTCATAAACAACAGTAGTGGCACGAGAAAGCAGTGAGTAGGACTTATATACGCGTAACCATTTGAGAGCATTTTGAGAAGGAGGGCGGACTCTCCCCACTCTCGACCGTATCTGGGCGTTTGGGGGCTGCTGGGAAGTCAGTAATGACTATTCAAACTACAGACTTATCAGTAAACAAAATGGAGTCAGTTTAGTGAGGTAAATTTCTCTTCTGACGATGTTATTTACTTAACCTGCACTATCGTATTGATAACTTTTCACATAACATCCCATGATAAAATAGAAGGGTGATCATGGGTTCATCATCTAACAAATTGATCAGGTATTGAACATAAATTATGCAATAGTCTTAAACACGAAAGTGAAAAAAATAATTGTTCACTTGATGAATATGAAGAAGAGGACAGACAAACGGCTATAAAAACTTGTGAAATTAGAAAGAATAATTAAACAAAGTACTGGACATGTATCTTTTAAACATACAGATCAGGTTTAAATTGATGAATGACTCAAACCTCATCCATGCATAGACTTGTGATCTCAAACCCCTTAGATCTCATTCCTTAAAACGTATAAGTGACCCTAAATGATGTCACCATCTTGAAACACCGACTTCGGTGGCTTGGACATGTTTTACGAATGTCGTCCCAGAGAATTCCATGTCGTGCATTATTTGCCGACTCTGGGACTGGTTGGAAAAAGCGAAGAGGAGGTCAGTGTATGACATGGTGTCGTGGCATGAAAGAAAGCTGTAAAGGGCTAGCTTCTGTTGATCCTTCACGACTCCCTGGCTGGGGTCCGAGAGATGGTGCAACACAGTGGCTAGAGACGTTATCAGATATGGCTTAGAATAGAAGCCAGTGGCGAGCCTGCTGTAACCTTCTTTTACTTTCTTCATAAAGAGTGGCTATAACTTTCTTAACTGAGAGAGCTCTTCTGGTTGTACATTTCAGTTCCCCCCATCATTACTCTTCTCTTTTCTTCATCCTTTTCTTTCTTTTATATATACACATCTTCCTTCTCCTCCCATTCTCATTATTTTGTTTGGCGCATATGTATCCGGTGCCCTTTGTACCACTATATATGTGATTAAATAAATAAATAAAATGATGAATTCGGTAGTTATATGTGATTAGAGCTGATTGTATGTCCAAGAGTTGACCTGTTAATTGATTTGCAACCATTCATGATAGAGCTGATCGTCCAGATACTCCTATTTAATCATAAACTTTTTTTATAGAAAATAAAGTGTGGTTGGCGATGAAATCTAGGATGTGTGTTTTGTCCCACTGCATCCTCATCAACCGGATGTACTTATATTCCATTGTTTCGATTCAACTTTACCGAAATATGTGCTAATTGTTACTAAAGTCATGAAACAACATAGAACAATTGTTCCTCAATTTGAAGAATCGATAATAATAAAAAAACATCTTCATTTTCATAAAATCATTAAATAACCCTTTCATTATAAAAAGACATAAATAGATTTGCTATTCATAGAAAAAAAAAAGACTGTATAATCATGCCTTTATTCATTCTTGAACACATGGTAACATGAGGCCAAATCCATGGTGATCTGATAATGATTGTTATAATCTTTAGCAGTATTTATCCCTACACATAATAGGTATATATATATATATATGTCGAAGATCAATTGTCAATATAATTATGTTGTGCTAACGAGGTATGGCAACTTCGACCGATGCATAAATATGCCTGGTCCTACATTGTGACTGACTGATGTTGGGATTATTGATTAGAATTATATCATTTCATTGAATGGAACTTAATATAATTATCTTTATATTTGTACATTAAAGAAAAAAAGTAAAAAAAAAACGCAAACGAATAATGAAACAATGTAAGCTAAAAGATGGATAGTGGCTAGTGGCAGTGGAAACCAGTTTGATGCGCGTTTCCGTCCTATTTTGGAACTTGTCAGCTGGATGTATATCTGCATCTCAGATTTGTTGATGTTCACTCTGGGAGGAACTCGAACTCCAGTACCTTTTGCTTCGTATAATGAAACAATTTTGATGATAGGGTCTTACATTTATTTGGACTTCATATCTGTTATATCTTGGACTTAGATTCTTAGTATGCCGCGTATTACTTGAGCACTCGAACTCTAGAACCCTCCCAAGTCGCAAAATGTGAAGACAGAAGACTAGTAAGTAGGAATGTTATTCTCAAAACAGTGTCAAATGTAGTACCGAAATCTCGTGTATTTATAGTTTTTGACTGAAAGTAAATCATTTCGGACAGTCAATAGGCACATAGGGGGGGCCTTCTTATTCATCCAATAGGGAAGTTACACGTTCACATTCTAGAATGTTCCTCTGGTGGTGATTAGA